CCCTGCCGCCTCCGCAGAAGAGATTGTCGTGATAGAAGCTCCTACTGTTTCAGATGATATACAAGACCCAGACGCCAATGAGATCGTCCAAGTCATCAAGGTCAATGGCGATGGCGATGGCTCAACAGACGACACAGCAGCAATCATTGTTGTCGACGTTGTCACTCCAGACGCCACCGAAGACACTAACATTCCACCACCACCACCAGCAGCTCCTCACGTAACAATCGCCGAACCTCTCAAACCCTCCAAACCCAGCGGAAAGAAACCCAGCAGCAAGTCTAGCAAATCCCGACATGTGGAAAAGCCAAAAGAGAGACCTGTGGAGATTATACCGCTGAAAGAGGGTAAAGCTAAACCTGTAGCCAAGCCAAAGAGCAAGAAAAAGGTCAAAGGCAAGATTGGGAAAGGCTCTGAGGCTGAGAGTGTGGACTTGGTTCCACCGCCACCTCCACCGTTGATGGTTGTTGATGTGCCGCCGCCTGCGCCTTCGCCGCCACCGAGTGGACATGTTATAGAGGTTGTTGGCACTGAGGAGATGCAGATCATTGGAATTGGTGAGATTGATGGAGGTGATGATGCTATTGTTATAGTCACAACTCCATCCTCGCCGGTCCTCGAAGTTGATGCGGACACTGTTGCGGTTGAGGAGCCGAAGGTCGACGATGTATCTGACGAGAAGGAAGATAGCAACCACGCTGCTGATGCCGACACCGCATCACCGCCAGAAGCCAAGGACGAGACTCCGGAGGTCGTGCAGGCGGCCGACACTGCCGTTGTTGCTGTCCCTGATCAGCACAAGGAGAGCGAGCCGAATCCCGCCACTGCCGATCCATCTTGCGGGCCTGACACAGGTGCGACGGAAAGTGCAGAGATCGAGGAAAGTCCTGAAGATGTTGCAGTCGAGCAGAAAGAAGATGAAGCGCCCGCTGCCATATCCTCACCAACCGAGGTCGATGTTATAGTTCCGTCCTTGGACGAAGGAGGCCATTTGAAGGAGGCAGAGTCTCCTGAACCTGAGAAAGAGCCTCTGCACACTGAAGAGGAAACGACTTCAGCCGAACCAGAGAACGAGCCTCCATCCGAAGACTCTGCAGTAAAAACTCTCATCAAGAGCAAGAACCCGGAGATAATACCCCTGACGACAAGGAACCCGATCCTGAAGAAGCCACAATACTGGAGGCAGAGAAGCTTGACGGAACGCAGCTTGAAACTGCAGGCGACACGACCGACAGCGCACTTGTAGCAGTATCTTCGCCTGCTGAGGAGAATGAGGCCAACCTACCGCCTGCTGCCGAATCTCCTTCACCAGATCCAGACGAATCAAAAGGCTCAAACGAGTCATCGGATCCTGTAGCCGTAGAGGACGAAGCCGGTAAAAGGTTCCAATCCCCGAGGCTAGCAATCCTGAATCAGCGGATACATCTGGTACAGATCCGTTACCAAATTTAGACACCGAAGCATCATCTTGTCCAGACTCATCTGCCACACTTGATGAAACAACAACCGCCGCGCCTGCAGAGGTTGTTGCTGAGCCAGCATCAACTTTGATGGAGTTGGCTGCTTTGATATTGCCGAGCGATCCAGCTCCACAAGCGGAAGATGTTGCCGTGATGAAAGATGAGTCGAGAGGTGGAGTCGTCGACGGTGATGCCAGTACGACGGAAACAGCTGTTGAGAGCGAAACATACAATTCTGCGCCTGAGGCGATCATCGGAGAAGACAGTGATTCCAAGGAAGAAGCCGTCGCAAAGCCTTCGGATCAGGGCAATGCCGTTACTGTACCGTCCGAGGTTCCAAACCCCTCTGAGGAGGAAATACTGGATGCCGACTCCGAATCTGCCCGCGAGAATGAGGGCGGCGAGTCTGAAGCGTCAGAAAAGACGACAGGTGAAGTAGTGGATGAAGTTCAAGGGTCAGAAGAACCAACCGCACCCGTGGAGCTGGTGAAAGCCGTTACAGATGACCGAGAATTGGACGAGACAGATTCCGAGGCTGACCAAGATCATGGAATGGAAGCAGAAGACGGCGACGAAAACAAGGCTCCAGTAGAAACGGAAAACATCAAGGCTGCCGATGGGGTCTCGGAAAGCAAGGACGGAGATGTTCAGCCTGTGCAAACCATTGAGACTGCAGAAGTTGAAGATGGCACACCCTCAGATGATGCCGATGCCTGGAAAGAGGAGACTCAAGATACTGTGGCTGAAGAGGAAGTCGTGACAGAGTCTCCCGAGACTACACCCATCACCCCAGAGGAACAAGCTCATGGCCCAACCGAGCCCAGTAACGATGCCCCCGTCGTGGAAGTGCCCGATGTTGGCGAGGCTGCCGGAGGTAACACCAAGGATTCGTCATTGCCGGTTGACGAAGGACCAGTCGCCGCCGAAACGACAGAAGCGGAAGAAGGGGGCCCTAATACACCACAAGCTGAAAATGCCGGAGCACCAACGACAGAAGAGGAGATCTCCTCAGATGTCGCAGACGATAATGTGAACGAAGGCATAGCGGCGCCGGTGGCTGAAGTAGAGAGTCACGAAACAAGAAGTCCTGAAGAAGACGCGACAGAGGCGTCGGAATCTGCTGAAGTTCCCGAGGGAGACAGTGCAGTGGGAGGAAAATCTGAGGCTGATGAAGTCATAAGCCAACCTGCTGCTGAAGACTTGCCAACCGAGCATGTCACAGAAGCACCTGCTGTTGAGAGCAACGATGATGTTGCCGCCAAGGAACCTGCTGCTGGCCAGGTCGAACCAGCCAGCGCGACTGCTGTTGTCAAATCTGTTGACTCTGAGGTTCACGAGGGTTCGGAAGAGCAGACTTTTACAGACACAATAGAAAGTGCTGTTGAAGACCTTATTGAGCCCGAAGCAACGATCGATAATACACCTGAGCAGCCAGCCGACACCACCGAAGATGCCCCGCCCTCAACAACTGGTGTTGGTTCGGAGACGAAAGAGCAAGTCTACCAGGAGCCGCCTTTGCCTGTGTTGGCCGAAGAAGCGCAAACCGTCAAAGCCACAGAAGAACTCGAACAAGCAACTCCAGAGGATCTATCCAAACCAGAGGAGATCGCAGAGGCGCCGCAACCTGTAGATACCGCTCCAACACTTGAGGAAACACCAGAACCTAATGGGGAATCTAGTCCTGCACAGCAACCCATATCAACTTCGGAAGAACAGCCTGTCGAGCAGCCACAGCTAGAAGACGCAGCACAGGAGGCACAACCGCCGAGACCAGAGAGTCCGCAAGCTTCTGCCCAGGAGCAAGTTACCGAGGCAGAGGTTTTACCAGAAGACTCTATATCGCAGCAAACTCGCTGCAAAACTATATCAGACTCAAGTTCAGGGCGCAGATCACCCTTGATTGAAGAAGCGGCACCAGATGAGCCCGCCCAAGTCGAAGATGCGGCGCCTTCACCACCCAAGCACTCTCCAAGGGTTTCGTTTGATGACCCACCAGTCTCGACGAAAGGCAAAGAACCAGCTTCGCCACCCAAAGAAAGACGCAAGTCGTCCAAGTCATCTTCTTCAAATCGCCACAGCTCCTCTCGCCACAAAGTCAAAGACGTCTCACGCCAACCTTCTGATCAAAAGTCACCGCCTGGACCTACCTCATCACGCCGCCGCAATTCGACCACCACGATACCACAACCAAACCTCTTCCGCCGTATCAGCACTACAAACTCACGTTCCTCTCGTGCCGAAGCAGCGGAACAAGCAGAAATCAGACGCCGCGCCGCTGAACTCGCAGCTCGCGAGCAAGAAGTCCAGCGCCAGCTCGAAAGAGCCCGCAAGCGTGCAGCACTGGAAGAACAAGAAAGGCTGTTGAGGGAGAAAGAAGAAGAGCTAGCGAGACTTAGGACGGTGGAGAAAGAGAAGAAGAGAGCCAGACGCGAAGAGCAGAAGGCACGTGAGCAGGCGGCTTTGGAGCAAGAACGACTGGCACGCGAGAGAGCTGAAGAGGAAGCCAGAGCCAAGGAACTGGAGCGTGCAGAACGACGAAAACGGCGAAGGGAATCTGAAAGACCACGCCACGGATACGATCGTCCTAGGCATCACAGACAATCCTCAAACCGAGGAACTGAGGTCAGAGATGTTTCGCCAACAGCAAAACCCAAGGTGAGGAGGCAAAGAACTGAGGAGATAAGTCCTGAACACCAGAGATCAAGAGGCGAATATGAAACATGGGAGGCATCATCATCCTCGAGAAGACCGGAAGAAAGAAGACATCATCGAAGCTCTCGCAGGGATCCAGAGAAAGCCGAGAAACCCAAGAAGAGCATATGGAAAAGTATATTCTCCAAGATATAATGGTAAGGCTTGGGTCGAGGAAGAGTACGAATGTGTATAACGATATCTGTAATACTGTATAATACCTGGATAATGAGTATCACACCATCTTGAGGCCTGCTTTCAACAACGTCCACCCACTACTTTCTTGAGAAGACATAGTGCTCCATTTCACATACTACTTGCCAAACGTAGATGCGCAAGACGATTCTAGTTTTGATAAGTTCGAGTGTAATCAATGAAAAAAGGACAAAGTCAGCACGGACAAAATTAGCGGGCCACTGGGTATAAAATACTTCACATTAAGAGGCATCGCAACACAGAGGTTGATGTGACAGAACGATGTGTTTGGGGCAAAGACTAGCTAGTTATGCTTCAACTAAGAAGAAAGAGGCCATTGTGGGCAATCAAGGCCTATCCATGAAGAAACGAACGGCTGTGGAGGGGAAGAATTAGGGGAATGTAAAGCAAAAAGAAAAGAAAAAGCTGCAAACGGATAGGAGCGCAAATGCTTCTCCACCATAGCTTTCTGTCCTCCTGCTGGTTGAATCCTTGCTGTCATCGTCATCTATGAAAACTTAGCCTCTCGTCGGCATTCCTTGCGGCTACATCGAGGCGCAAAGAGGAAAAGATTATAATTGTGTGCAGGTTTGATGCAATGATTTCTGTTCAAATCGGGTCGGCGTGGCTGTGTCTTGAAGTGGCAGTGGTGACTTAGGACTTNNCCCTCTTTCTGTGAGTGAATCGAATTTTCTTGGTTTTGGGGGCCTTCTTAGGAGGCTTACGCCCAGTTGAGGGAGCCTTTTCCTTCTTGAACTCCGAACGGGAACAGTTCCCCCAGCTCAGGTCGTAGATTAGCTGACCGACATCCTCGTGGTTGTTGGCCTCCCACGTCGCTCCTCTGCACATGCGGTCTTGGTTGTAGCGTAGTTGACCCAGAAGGCAGTGCGACAATACCGGGCATCTTTCATCCAAGTCGTCGAAGACATCCACCCAGTCATTGCGCAGGCGAGGCCGGTTGATGTCACCATCCCTCCAGCGCAAGCGTGTACTGCTACTACGAAAGAGTAAAGCATGCTTGATCGAGACACTCTCGAGGGCGGCAGTAATCATAAGGTTAGAGAAGGTTAAATAGTCGATCTCGCAGTCCAACAATGTCACGGCTCTTAGCATCGCCGGGGCTGCCAACCATCTTCGCACCACATTCCAGTCATCAGCCAAGAGTTGGAAGCCATAGAAAGAACGATGCTGAGGATCGTAAGTCATTCTAGCTGATTTCCGAGTACCCTCGACTCCCTTCCTGACAAATCTCAAGGTACGCGCAACTCCAGGAAACGACATGGTATCCAGGGTGTTCATAGTGTCTCGGATTGCGGCGAATTCAGTCGCAAATTCATTCTGTACTGGTGAAGGGTTGACCCAGGAGCGACGACGATAGCCACCAGTATGGATGTCTGGCTGAATGTCGATCTCAAAGACAACATTTCTGATCGGAAGTCCCGACTCCAGCGCAAGCTTGAGCAAGACATTCCTCATGAAGTCCTTGATACGATCGTGTGCGAGTTNCGATGGCTCGAAGCGGTTTGCATCGGTGGCAGCGTGACGAACCCCGATGGAATGGAGTTTCTTGAAAGTGCCCAGCTGTTCAAGGGCTGCGTGAAGAACTTCATAGTCCAGAACGGGCTGTTGTTGACCGCTGTGGATGATGATGAGGGTTTGCAGATGGTGTGCTGCGACAGGGTCCCGACTAAGTCTGAGCAAGGCCACCATGCCGCTCTCTGAGAGCTCGAAGCTGCGGTCTGCGCCGAAGACGGAGGCGATTACAGGCTCGAGTAGGTCGTGAATGGTGCGGCATGTCGAATTGAGCGTGAGGAGATCCTTGTCGTCGACGCAGTCCATAACCATCAACTGGACTTCGGCAGGTAGTGTCAATAACGTGCGCATTTTGTAGATGTGTCCGGACTTTGGTGTGTTGTTGCTTGTCTTGATACAGTGTTGCGCAAACAGAAGCGCTGGAAAGGACGAAAGCAAATGAGAGAACGCAAGTCGGGAGCACACGCATGAGGTCGACTAGAGTTAACCTCGTTTGGCCGGGCAACGGAAGTGATGCAAACATTTCAGACTCACAACTATCTATCTTCGTTTCACCTGTCGAATAGCAACAACACAAGCACATCTCGCGACGACAACGGAAACTGTCGCCCTTCTTTCTCCTCCTCCTTCCTCATCACCATCACCACCACCACAATGGCCTCCTGGTATCAACCCCTGAAGAGCCCNTTTTTCCTGTCCGGCGTCATCATCAACGCCATGCTCGCCTTCCTCCTGCTCTGGGCAGCCAGAAACCGTGGCCCCCGGGTCTGGCTACCCATCGTCATCGCCATGATCGTCGTGGGCACCTTGCAAGCCGCTTTTGGTATGCATCTCTTTCGCGGGTAGCTCAAAACACTGCTAACTATGCTCACAGTCCTGCTTTTTTTTGTGCTTGAAGCCGCCGCCTGCCCCCCTCGTCATCAACATCCCCCCTGGTCGAGTTGGAGCCCGTTGACGACTCCAGCTCTGACGAAGACAACAACAATGAGCAGTAGAAGGGCAGGAGGGTGTCAAGACTGGTGATTTGAGGAATGAGAGACTTGTACGAGTAGCCAGGGGCGCAAAAACAAACGAGTTCCCAGCTTCCAACACCACTTCAATGACCCTCGTAAAAATGCATGACAATTTTGATATATTAGATGTGACCAAAGAGACAGGGGAAATGAGATGTTCTCTTTGGACAAGTTGTGCTGTTGGACTACATTGTGCCTTTTTACTGCTAGGTGGGCACACACCTCTCAATGTAGAGATGATCCTTCGAGCTACTTTGTACAATCCCAGAGGCAATGATAGGGGGGACAAGTATAGTGACACTGAGTTGCATACTGCAACTATGTGATACTGTGGAGACGAAAGGCACGCCGAATAACCATGGCCTATGAACCTAGAGACCGTCCCAAAACTCCTCAAACCCCTGGGTATCTTCTGACCGTAATAGTAATGCTCATCAATTCGTTCTTCATGTCGTGATCTCGTTCAGGTGTGAATGTCTGTTGGCTGTTGTTCTTGTTCGGAATTGCTGTAAAGAGGTTAGTCATTGCTTGTAGACACAAGGGCAATGACTTACACTGGATGCTGGCAAAGAGTCTCCGAGCCGCTTGTACCTCGAGCACTGTGACAGGATGTATCGAAGGCTGCAGTGCTCAGCACTGAGGGCTCTTGCCCATATTTTCAGCCAAGGTCTTGATAAGATCAGGGCTGAGCGAAAGTTAGCAACCGTGCAACCTTGGATGCCGAAGAGAGACCTGCCTCAGTGGGTCATTGCGTTGGGGTTTGACGCCTTCGAGAACAGCAAGTGCGTGGTCACGCTGGAGGTTGTTGTACTCGACACTACCAGGTCCAAACAGCAGGCAGACTGAGGCAGATGTTAGCAATGGTTGCTCGTGTGTCTCAGAAAGCAAGGACGAAACAAAGGACTTACCGCGCTGGTACTCCAGAGCACGCTCAGTGTACTCGCTCTTGGAGGGGTGAGTAGTAGGGGCGTACTCGACGTCGTAGTCGAACTCATGCTCATCACCAAAGGGCGAAGGACAAGTGTTGTAGGAGTTGACGCGACTAGACTGGTCGAACAGGACAGAAGGTTCGGTAGAACAAGGCGAAGAAGAATAGGAGCCCTCCTCATCGTCGGAGGGGTTGCCGTCAATGGCCAGAGTGCGGTCGATTTCGTAGCGGTCTTCGAAGGGTGATGAGAGGGCTTTGCGTGCCTGGGCAGGGGGCGAACAGAAGTTGATAGGAGAGGACAAGTCGACGTCTTCAAAGTTGCCTTGGGCGGTGAATGAGTTGATGCCGAAAGGCACACTGGTGATTGCCTCGAAGTCGAACATGGCCAGAGAAGTGCTTGAAGAGGGCGACACGTCGAGCTCAGGGATTGGCTTGGTCGAGATGGGCAGAAAAGAGTTGACTCTCTTGGTGCCAGTTTTCTTGAGCTCGATGGCGCGTGCAGGAGGGAGATAGTCGAGGTCGACACCAGTGTCACCCTTGCAGCACTTGAAAAGGTTGAAGCAACGCATGTTGTGTAAGCTTGCGGGTATGTTGATAATGAGGACGCGTGTCGACGAAGGAGTGTCTTGAGAAAAGATCAATGATGAGAGGATGTAAACTAGGAGAAGTGGATGGTGTGAGAGGAAGGTTTGCGTGGTTGTGTGGTGGTAGGAGAAAAGGAGAAATGAGTACGTGACAGTGAATTTTATGTGTGAGAACGAGCAGCAGTCGCGCCGAGCCCCAGCCACCCCATCCATGAACTTCTATACCATAGCTTCCATGTGCAAACACGCCAAGAAGCATCATCGACAAACGACCATCTTACGTGTACCAGACGTGCTCAAGACTTGGCATCGGTACGCAATGTCAGATCAGAAGTCCTCGAACGCCTGCCATATCCTCTAACACGTACAAGACTCTCCAGTTGCTAGGAATTGTGTATTAGTTGATCGAGATAGATTCTTGGAGACTACCATTCCTCGAGAGCGACCTGAAGATCCTCTCAGATATGCTGCATGTATGCTAATCGAGACCGTCGAATCCTCCAAACCATGCGTGATTTGGTCTCACAAATCGTAGGTGAACTCTGCGAGCAGGACGCGCTGTCGACTAATACATCAGCAAGGTAGGGAGACAGAGAGAAACGGAGCATCGCATCCATCCGACGTGGGTGTTTGTGTGCTTACTAGCAGATCTACAAGAACGTGCGTCCGAGAGGTAGTCGACACCAGACGTGTGCTCGATGGTGACTTACCGCAGATGAGTATGAAAAAGGTCTAGGCAAGCATAGAAAAGCTACGAAGCTCGAAAATCTGCCTTTGTTGCTTGTCAAATCCGGTGCAGTTCTTTGTGTACTCAGAATTTGATCGCCAGCTCTCTCGGTCGCGGTGCTTTCGCAAGACTTTATGGTAATTCGTATGCTACTTTCACGTATATCACTACCTTGTCAAATTGAGGCTGTCTACACACTTTGGATACGAATGGACCAGATACATCGCTATATTGGCATGCGACATTATGCTAACAGCTTGAAATCGAATTTTATAGACCAGCGCCAATTTCTCGAGCGTCTCAACACACCAAGACAGTTCATCAAGGAAACTCTCCAGAGGCTAGGTATTTGTTTTGTGCAGCTCCACGCAGACCAAGCATACTTGCGCGAAACTGACATTACCAATGCGATCTTGTCATGTACCCAGTTCTTGTTTCGCGGGCCAAAGGAGGTCAAGAATACAAAAGCGATTGCATGACACTATGGGGTTTTTACTAAGAGAAAGTCGTGCTCGAACAACGAACGAAATGCACGTTGGTATGTTTCGTCGTAAATCTGAGAAAGACATTCTTCAGCGAGTGAGGTTGGCTTTTGGCGTCCAAATCTAATTGCCGCATTCTACCGAGGTTGAACCTTCCGAGACTCGACGACGTCAACTCTTCCCGGAGGACCTACGAGGTCTGAATCACACATTCACGATATAAACATATCTCGCTGTTTCTTCTCGAGGACTGGAGAAGCTGGCGCTACGTTTTTGGAAGTTTTTATCGGCACACGTAATCCGACAAAGGCCAATTGCGAACAAAGGAATCATGGCCGACAAGCCCACCGACGCCCGCGAGCGTCTCCGCCAAAACTTCCTCGATCATGACCCAAAGCATCATCCCAACCGTTGGGAACACCTTTGGCAGCAAGACGATCTGCCATGGGATAAAGGCTTCGCTTCTCCGGCCTTAGCAGACGTTCTTGCCGACAANAAGGATCTGCTCCCGACCGCTCAGTCTGGCCGTCGCCTGCGCGCTTTGGTACCCGGTTGCGGCAAAGGTTATGATGTGCTCTTGCTTGCCAGCTGGGGCTATGATGCTGTTGGTGTTGAGGCTGCTGCAACCGCCGTCAAGGCTGCCAATGCTGAGTCTAAGGGCTGGGAAGAGAAGCCCGAGTATGCGGTCAAGGACGAGGCAAAGGGCCGCGGAAGCGCCAAGTTTGTGTTCGGCGACTTCTTCGAGAAGGACTGGGAGAGGGATGCGATTGGAGAGGATGGCTCAAAGGAAGGACAGTGGGATCTGATCTATGACTACACCGTAAGCCCATGTTGCCGAAGCTTGCTAGAAGCAGTGGATAATTACTGATGACACACANNGTTCTTGTGCGCTTTGCCTCCAGCACTCCGACCTAACTGGGCAGCTCGCCAGTCATCATTGCTTTCGCCAACCGGCCGTCTGATCTGTCTCGAGTTCCCAACTTACAAGCCTCCCTCAACTGGTGGACCTCCATGGGCTCTTAGACCCGAGACTTACCTGGCTCATCTGAACCAGCCAGGCAAAGAAGTTGAGTATGATGAGGAAGGCTTAGCTGTCTGGAAAGAAGGTCAGACTCCTGGAGATGGCGCTCTTGAAAGAATTGCTCACTGGAAGCCGGAGAGAACTCACAAGATCGGCGAAGGTACTGACAATGTCAGCGTCTGGAAGAGAAAGTGAGAATCGCGGAGTCTTGCTTTTCCGTTCATGTGGTTCCTCAAGCTTCATAGTGTGGCCGAAACAGGACTGTAGAAATGCAAAAGTTTACTCTCGTTGAAGTTGCGTCCACCGAGAGCCTGGCAGAGCGTCTGTTTCAGTGGAGTCTCCAACAGTAGTGATCTGTTTCGTGCAATGTTATAGGGGTTATCTCGTGATTAATCATTGTGAAGAGCGTCTGTTTCGTTGTCGCCGAACGTACTTTCACTTTGACTGACGGCCAGTGCTCAAAACTTCGTGCACTACCTCACATAATCTGGAATTCTCCATCTCTTTCCTCCCCTTCCAACGACAACAACAACAACATGGGTGCCGCCGCTTCGTCTTCGTCTGGTGTTCCTGCTGCTCGCGCAGGCCGTCGCCTGCCAACTCCACCTCCTCAGCCTCCCTCTGCTCCATCGGAGTACACTCTTCGCGCCCTTGAGTGGCAGCAAAGTAAGTAATCACCCCCGAGAACAGATTCGAAGGTGTGTTAACAGCTTGACAGAAACCACGGGCCATCGAGCCCAGAGTTCATCACCTTTGCCCAAAGGGCATACACACTCGCCGCCCTCGAGGGCAGAACCCGCGAGGGTCAACTACCCCCGTAAGCTACTTGAATCCCCATACGAAGGTACTGGACTGACCATTTCTATCAGGAGACACTGAAAATGGCGGTCGAACGGATGCGTGGTGTTGCCCGTACCCATTACCCTTACCACACTCATGCTCCTCGACAAACATGGGAAGGGATTGGCACGCACCGCCATAGAAAGTGCAGGAAGGCTGGCAGCTGGTTGAAGTGGAAGATAGTACTCTGTAATCACGAATGAAAGTCTTGTGCGAGCGAACCTCCTTCCAAGCAATCGTTGAGCTCCCTTTCGGATATGTCATAAGCCACCACAAACGACTACAGTACTGCGCACATCTTCTGCATATATCTCTGCTTGTTGGTGTAAAGTAAGGTGAGGATATCGAGTGCCCGAGCATGACTCAGGGGTTTGGCGTGTTTGGTTGCTTACGACATCATATGTGCCTTATGTCTCAGCAGGGCCCTCGAGACGAACAACACCAAACACGTCCCTCTACGCGTCTTCATAATCTTTCCTCAACTCAAACATCCCACTCACGCACAACTGCACTACCTCAATCATACAACATCAATCATCAACTGAACCACTATCAAACATCCTGCACCATGTCTAGCACTATGTTGACTCCCTTCTTGATCGTCCTCTCCATCATCAACTCGGTCTTCCTGACCCTCACCATCTGGGCTGCTCTCCAGCTCCGCGGCTCGGACTGGTGGGTCGTTTTCATGGTCGCCTTCATCTTGGGACTGCTGTACGAAGTCGACTANCTGTATGTTTGAACTCCTTGTCTAGCCACTGCACACAGCTAACCTTTTGCAGTGCGCCGCAAGAGACCCGGCTACAACCCTGAGCACCGTGGTCCCATCGAAATTCGCCTGCGCAACTTCTACGGCCTCGACGCCAGAGACTCTTTCGACAGCACCAGTAGCGACGGCATCGACCGCTCAAGCATCCGCAGCAACCACGCCAACAATGCCAACCAGCGCGAGAACCCTTTTGACACTCCTATTGCTCGCCCCCAGACTGCACACACTCGTGTTGGTCAGACCCCAGCCACTCCTGCCAGCATTCTCCAGATCAATCAGACGCGTGCTCCTCGCCGTCCTGTCACCCCAGCTTTCATCTAAACCACAATGACAAGTAAGTCTCCGACAAGGCTACCCCTGGAGCGCACTGACAGGTTACTGTAGCAGTCAAAGCAACATACACTCTCGCATAGGGATTGAGCAAGCAGAAGGCATGGATGAGATGCAGGAGACTTCTGAGTAATGACAAAGCTGCGTCGGTCATCAAGGGGGAAGTCACCGTCATCACTTCAGGGGACGATGTCTGGTCAAAGTCAAGATGGCCAAGGTTACGAATCACGAAAGCAAATATGATATTGCAAAACTCGTCAAGAGCACAAGAACAATGAATTTGATTTACTGTCTCACAATGTGTTGCGTCTCCTAAACAGCTTTGCTTCTCTATCCTCCCAGGTGTTTCTGTCTTCAATGGGTCTGGTACTACAAGGGACTGTTCACTGCCGGCGCCGTACGGCTGCTCGATCTCGTAGTCCTGGTTGGTCTGATGGCTGGAGATGGTTGAGCGGGTAGCGCTACATTGAGATGAGCTGCAATATTAGCCAATGCTGGAGCCTCGACGCCAAAGTGTGCTGCGTGACGTGACAATCTATCGGCGTCAAAAGCTTGTCCAGACCTGTAGCGAGTGATAGGCACAGATGCGAGGACGAAAGGAGACTTTAGAGTGGTGATAGCAGAAGTCGGCGAGGATTGAGACCATCTGGCAAATGCTGTAAACGGTCCATAGGGAATGTCAGCGTGCCATGCAGCAGCTTCTTTGCCTTTAAGATAGTCAGGCTTCTTCAGAGTCAAAGTATATGTATCACTGTCTTGCTGGAACAAATAATTATCGTTCTTCTCAGCAAGCGCAAAGTCCGAGAACACCCAGTCCCAGCAAGCGTGGCCGTATGGTCCATATGTTTCTTCTGGCTCGTCGATGTCATCTTGATCGAAATATTCTTGGAATCCTAGAGGATCGTAAGGGTCCCAGTATGCTAGACCTCTTCTGTTCCTCTGTATCGCTCGCTGGAAACTGATCATCAGACAGGGATCCCATATTCGGTCAAGGGGAATGCGAAAGTGCTTTGAAACTGTCTCATCGACAATTGAGGTCTTCATAGATTCAGGTTTGGTGTCATCTTCAGCATCACCAGAAGAGTCGTACTCTACAAAATGATCGGAGTTGGCGACGATGACAAGCGGCATGTCGACCACTTTGACCTCTTTCTTCTCTTCCTCGACTCCAGTCAAGTGGAAAGCGGGTTGTGTGCGCAAGTCGAGTCCAGGATGACCGCGTTTCTTGAGCTCGCTCTCCCAGGCAGTTGTAACCTCAGGTGGAGCTGTCAGATGGAAGGTCTCGTTCACACAACCAGTTCTCGCAATAAGCCAAAGACGCCAACAGCCGAGAGCTTGATCCCAGAACCATACGCAATCGTCGGGCTTTTTTTATCGTGTGAGGACCGTGAAACCCAAAGGTGCCGGCAAAAACCTGCGTAAACGCTGCTCCAAAGGCTTCCTCAAATGCCAGTCTTTGTTGATCCTCTGGAAGCAGCTCAATCCTTTTGAACACTGCCTTCGCCTTGTCTACGCTGTAGCCGGGTATGAAGTCAAGCTTTGCAGTATCTGCGTCGGCGTAATTGTACAGCCAGGTTTTTCTCCTTACTGTAGCCTCGGTCAAGGGTAGCATCCGCGCAACCTCCAACATCTTCCAATATATTCCCAGCGGCTCTCTCTGCTGTCCAGTAGTAGGAGTCGATCTTGCAGCAAGACGAGCTGAACGGCGCGGATTCGAAACAGTGGTGTCGTCCTTGGATTCATGGTCGATAGTCTTCTTCTTGATTGTTTTCGCAGTTGTCGCAGCCTTGTGCTTAGCAGCCTTCATAGCTTTTCGAGCCTGTTGCTTTTTGGCTGTCATCTTGGGGTGTGGGACTCGATTTGGTCTCTCGTGGCGCTCAAGAATTTCTGAGGATGTGAGTAATGCAAAGTATGGTGCAAGATGGATAGTCCACGATGCTTTGTTTTGTGAACTTCGAATCTTGCTGGATCCGGCGATCTTGAAGGCGTTGCATTATCCACAAAGAGGAGATTTTGGATTTAGCATTGCAGCATCTCGTTGTTGAGAACAAAGACTCCACGAAAAAACATCTGATTGTTGTCTGCAAGAATCTGGGCCTCGCATTCTTGTCTGGGTCTGCCGATGCTTGGCAACCTGGAACGGATGAATTTGGAATATGGTCGCAGTCGCACATCCTCAAATATTGTAAGTCGAGGCAGGAGGAGCTGCAGCTTTGTCAGTCGCGTTGATTGAACGTACAATGAATTCTGGAATAGGACACATCCGTGATATGCGAAGATTGGCGCGTCTTCTTATACAACCTCTTTCTGGTCTGATGTCGGTGACTGCCGGCGATGTCTGAGCTGTTGTGGGTACAGAGTATCGGTATAGGGAGACTACCTAGGGCTGGGAAATGTCGACCAGGGTGTTCTGGAGGTTGTCCTTGAGTTGCTGAAAGCGGAAAGACCCAAAATCATGCACTCTTGTCTCTTCGTGCTTCGCGCGTTGGGGGTATGCGTATACATGAGGATGATCTTCAGTCTCTCGATATAGCTGGTGTTATGTCACAGCTCTTGCATTATCGAATGTTTGCACTAAACTGTCAACAGTAATGCCCCAATAGACCATCAGTCGTGAATGTCAACTGACCTGCTGCCTTTCGTCTCCAGCATATGGCATGGAAGCTTGCCCGAGAAAGTATTTGTTGCTGATGGACTTTTGCTTGTTCGAAGGTTGATACCAGTCAGACCGTACCCGAGCAAAGACTGACGCCAAACTGAATTTACAAACCTGTACCAACAAGGCCGGTGTCTTGGCAGCTACACCCACCTTGATCAAAACCACCACACGCCCACTTTGCCGTCAATTGGTCTCGTCTTGCGCGTGGTAGCCAACATCCTCGTTTGTTGACAAAGCTCCCTCATACTACATCTCATCACGCGTTCAGCACAACAAGTATCCCAAAAGCAACGATGGCTATCACCAACCAAATCTCAGCTATAGCCGTAAGTCTACTCATTTCCTGCGCTAATGTACAGTTTCAGAGGCGCTGCCATGTCGATACCCATTAGAAGAATTTATACTAACGATGTTCGATGCAGACGATTGTTGGCCCTATAGAGCTACCTGAAGAGCTCAAAAGGATGATTGCGGCCGAGGCTGACGATGAGGATATCCATACCATGCGTCTGGTGTGTTCTGGTTGGAAGACTGTGACACTTCCAAGATTCTTGCCTTTCTTCAATCAAGTAGCCTTCCGATACACGAAGGCTGGACTCACAAGCATGCTCGAGGCATGTCAGCACCCGGTCTTTGGTCCTCATATACAGACCCTCATTCTCATAGTGGACTGCAAACGTCGCAATGCCTCCAGTTATCAACAGATCTACAACCAGGCTCTCGTTGCGCTCAGGGCCTCCGGACAATCAGTATGCCTTGGTATCCGCTGGTGCCAGATCGCTCTTGGAGAGGTCGTAACCCCTGAGTTAGCCTCTGGTCGTCTGGCTACCTTGCTGGACAAGAAGATCTTGCCGGCTGGGCAGGCAGCCGGCCTCGTCATCGACAATCTCCTGATCGAGCTTCCAGACGCACGACCCCTCCAAGATGAGCCGAACACCTATCAGAGACTCATCAATTGGCTTAATACTATGTGGTGGAGGCACAATCAGATTGGTGGGCCCTCTAAACTCACCATCCGATTCGACAACTCCATTGCTCAGCTCTCACGCCCTCCTTCCTTCGAGATTACGCAGAACCCTGCCAGAATTGAGTGTCATGGCATGTTGCCATGCCACTATGACGCNTTTTACGAGCTTTTCCAGCTCCCACACCTAGAACTGGCCCTGCACAATTGCAGCATCCCTGAAACATTCTTCCGCGAGACTAATCATCTCCTTACTACCATCATACTTGAGGGCATCACTATCTACAGTGAGTCCGCGGAGGGGTTCAGAGACATCCCAGTCCGCCCGGTGTTCCAAGGCTCCGCCAGCAAACTTCTCTCACTTTTGCTCGGCATTCACCCGGGCCTGAGCCGCCTGAGGCTCAAGAACATCTCCCAGGGTGACGACACCTGGCTTAGTGACGGCCCTCACCTCTTTGATGTGAGGGGCGCTCACAAGCTACCCACGGCTCTCACTCGCCTCCTGGAAGGCTACCGTGGCTGGGAGATTGCTTACTGGTGCTGCGGTGACGAGGGACTGAGGGACAGGATGCTAATGAAGTGGCAAGGCAGTGAGATGGGTAGCGGTTTGCTTTAGGTCGCATACAAGTGAAGGAAAGAAAAGTGAACGTGGATAGCGAGCTGTAATGAATAATGTACTTTAGAATAATGAAACCCACTGCTCTCCCATGTCCAGCACTACATTTCATGTATCTATACAAATGCACGATGGTATACCAAAGTAGAGAGTGTCCATTGAGAGCCCAAGAGAAGCCAGTTCTTTCTGGGGCTCTCAGTGGATAGTGCTTGACTTCTTACAAAGTTGTGCATTTTGATAGATAGCCAGTTGTAGTGACACAGACATGAGCCCGCAATTCTGTTCATCGGCTTCTACACCCTCCCACACTCGATACTCTGTTCTAGTCATCTATCAAAATGCACGATAGTTTGAGATAACAAGACGTGTCCAAAGAGAGCCCAAGAAACATTGAGTTCTCGTTGGGCTCTCAGTGGACGAGGTTCAACTCTACAATATATCATGCATTTCTATGGATAACTCACTTTAGTGATACAGAAGAGAGCCCCTGATTCTAATTATCAGTTTTGACGTTCTCCCAGACGAGAACTAGCATTCCAGGTGTTTGTAAAAATACACGAACCTTTTGGAAACGGGACTGTGTCCAGGGAGAGCCCAAGAAGAAAGGAGGTTTCGATGGGCTTTCAGTGGAAACGACTCGATTTCGTATGACATCGTGCATTTTTATGGATGTCCGATTGTTAGGATTCCGAGATGAGATACCCTTTACAACTTGGCTTTGAAGAACTCTCAGTGGACATTATCACGGTTTAAAAAGTATCTTGCATTTTTACAAACAGCTTATCGTCGAGCTATCGATGAGAAAGGACTTTCTACATTCGTTTCTTCAGTGTTTCTAGCCAAAGCAACTAGAAAGTATGCCTGGAAGCCTGATGTTTAGTTAGCAGTGCATATCATAGTCAGAGCGGGATGCAACTTGCACAAGAGCCCGAATTCTCGAGGTAGTTCTGGCTTCCAAAGTTTGAACAATCTTGTCGAGCAGGTAAAGCTGTTGTCTTGCGTGCCCAGCCAGTCGTCGTGGCTGCAGTTCGGGTCTAGAAAGCCGGATCTTCATCTCAAGGAGTCTATCAGCGTGCTCACTGGCAGCTTTGACGTGCAAGCGAGCCTGCCCATAATCACCGAGCTTGTTAGATTCTCTGGCGAGAGCTTGGTATTTGTCGAGGCCGTACTTGAGAATAAGAGTAGCATCGAGATATCTTTCACCTAGCTGTAGACTCTTGTACAGAGTGTTCTGCTCCCGAGTCAATCTGATGATCACTTCCTCACAGAAGCCAATGTCTTCAGGTCGGTAGAGCCTCCGCCTGGCCTTGCTGACTCGTCGTTCAAACATCTCGAGATCGGTGATCGATGGGGATAAGAGCGAAAGCTGAGAAGCGCGAAAAGTATGCCACGCTCTAACGATCTCATCTGGTTGGAAAGTTGCGATAGCGGTAATGACGGTTTCGTAGGTTGCGGGTTCCTCTTCAGTAATCGCTCGAGTATACGATGGGGGTTGCTCAGTGGCCTGTTGATAGCTTGGTGGAAGGCCCTCGGTCGGTCCAGGTCCTGGGATGCCTGGAAGTGGCTTATCATGAATACTGATCTTTGAACAGTCTGTATAGTTCGACTGCAGCTGTGCGAATATATCAGTGTTGAGCTCGTAGCATTCTCCACAGGGTCGATGTAGTCTGATCTCGAGTTGAGTCTTCTCGATCTCGCAAGCAGGACTACAGGTACGAGGAGGCATGAGTTCCTGACTCAATCTGCCGCAAATGCACCCGTAGACCATGGTTGTTTGTCCGCACATCGTTGCCTGCGCAGATGCCTGATATCTGCCAAGGTGGTCTGGTTCTGGTAGGCTCGAGATGGCTGGTGATGACTATATATCAGGGACTATCAACTGAGACACAAAAGCTTTATCCTCTTTGTGCCCCGAGGACAATGTTTCGTGTCTTTCGAATGTTTGTCTGGTGTTCTTTGTCAGCCAAGACATTCGGGTCTGTCTTTGTCTCAGATTCGGGTCAACGACCAAAACAAGTCGAACAAACCGCATTGACTCGACCTTCCACTGCGCGATCTTCTTTTGATACGTAACGCACACCACATCAACAAGCACAACATGGCTGCTCATCCTATCACCACTACCATGCCTGAGCTCGGTGCCAGCAATGAGTCGCAGCACGAGGTAGATCCAGACTTCTGGAGTCATTGAGAATGTATGTCTGACATGGCTGTAGCCAACCACCATCAAAGTCGCAGGCTGGACCTGTGTCAACACCAAGCTCCACATCACCCCTGCCCCCATCGACACCTCTCTCGACGCCAGCGAGAACGAAGAAGAGCACGAAGAAGAAGAGGAAGTCATCGCCCCAGCCTCTAGCACACCAGAGGCCGATGAGAGCCCTCGTGTTTGTGAGTGGGAAGGTTGCGGCAAAGCCTTCGCGGGCATGAACGCCCCTACACTGCTCTACGTAAGTCTGCATGACCCCTTGACAAGATCATCAAAAGACCTGCAAACACTCTCAATTCACAAGACTAACCAACTGTAGCTGCACATTGTCAGAGAGCACGTTGGCAAACCCCACGACACTCAGGCATTCGACCCAAAGTGCCACTGGTCCACCTGCCCATACAGCGGCAACCCTCGCAGACTCCTGCAATCGCACGTGATTACTCATGTCCCCGACTACAGACCGCTTCCCTGCGACGGGTGCCCTGCAACTTTCCAGAGAGAAAGCAATCTCAGGGCACACAAGAAGACATGCAAAGGTTCTTGATGGGAAGGCCAGCAGAGTGATGGCAGGAATCTGAGAGCGGTGCTAGAGGAGCACCAGGATTGAGGCAAGCCTGTCTCTCATATTATAACTTCCCCTTTTCAAGACATTTCAGTCTTCTCCGCGAATACCAACACTTTTCTTCGCAGTATCGTGGGATTCTATGGCTATGTGACACCAGTCCCTGACATCTGGAGAGGTGCATCGTCTGTTCGTTAACTTCTTCTTGTGTTCTGCCTACCAAGCTCTTCTCATATAATGGCCCTGGAACACGTGCATAAAAATACACAGTGATATCTGGAAGCTGGCTTGTCAATCCAGAGAGAAGTAAAGGAACATGGTTTCAGTGTGTGGTACTCAACTCGTCAACTGAACTGTGCATATCAGCAAGCTTACACATTTGGGCTCTGCCACATGAGCTGGCAATGGTCTGAAGACATCAACAATTAAGGGTACTTATTCCCCTAGGTGTGCCTTTCTCTTGTCCAGCGGTAAGATGGCGCAGTTGGTAAACGTTTCAGCATCCCTCGGATCGGTTACTGCCATCAACTATGCCATCAGTCATTGGTTCGATTCCAACGCTGAGCACTTTTTTCTTTTTGCGATGGATGCTCTATGATGAATTTGACACAATGATGCTTTGCGATTGGAAGGTGAACTCTCGATTCGATTCTCACATGAATCAGTAGAATACAGGTATTGGGTGGTTTTTGGTACTGTCTTACCTAGCGGTTCAAGAGAATCACGAGACAACAGATGCAAATCTTTTGGTGGATGCCGAAACAGTTCTCTCATGAGAGAGATTGCAAGACGGCTCAGAGAGAACTCCCACACCTCTTGGTCCTTTTCGTAGAGCAAGACATGAAAAACGAGACGATCGTTATAACTTCAAACACTCATCAAGGTTTATGAACGATGGATCAGGACCTCAGCAAGATGAGAAAGCTTGCCAGGATGGTTACGTCTCTTTCGGAAGTCCTGGAAAATTGGGAGAGGAGATTCTCGATTCATCTCTACATAAGCAGAGAGGAGGTCATTCTAGACTAGGAAAACCAAAACCCGCGTTGGAAAAATATCACCGTTTCTTGGAATTGTATGCGAGAGTGGAGTGTGGATGAGAAGGATAAGGCCGGCAAGGTGAGGGTATCAGTGCACATCACAATCTTCGTGGTGAGTGTAGCGGTCGTTTCGATAAGGCAGCTCGAGGTACTATGAGACTCAATCAAAGTCCGTAGAGTATGGCCAAGAAGCGTCAATCATCTCACGAGTGTACTTAAAGAGCCCATTCTCGTGAGCAGACTCGTAAAGGTTGCTGCGAGCCTTCTTGAGCTTCTCTGGTATATCAGACCAAGCATCACTCTCAACAAAGTCGTGCTTAACATTGTCGAGGAATCGCTCGACTTGATGTTTGATGATCTGGTCTGTTTCCCAACGAGAGTAGTGTTCATCAGCAGATTCGTATTCGTATGCCTCGTAGGGGCATGAACCAGGCAAATTGGATAGATCCCAGGATTGAGCACAATTGTTAAGACTCTCCTCAAGAACAGGCAGACCTTGAGCCCATGTGTTGTGACAATCGCGAAACAATGGATAGAGCTCAAAGGCGCGTTCAACACAGATTTCATGAGGAAAAGTATCATTGACATCTTCGCCAGCATCGCCGAATGGAATCTCAAGCCTCAGCTCATCAGAGTCGTCACAGTAAGAGAAGGCTGGAGAAATGGTGCATGCCTGCCAACCAGTTATACAGGTGACGACTGTAGGGTCTCTGGGGTCCACGAAAACGTGACACATGGTGGGGCTTGCATGAAGCATGGTAGGTATCGATTCAGACACGACTCGAGGGTCCTTGACAGCAGTTCTCAGAACACGATGCGTGTGGTTGAGCAGGTCAACATGCTGCTCGGGGGTGCCTTGATACGGCCGATCGGGGATAGAGATACGGTGTCTGTTGGCTATACCCTCCAGCCCAAGGCGAACAATGCCGTCAGCAAACTCGACCATGTTAGACCCTAGATAAATTCAGTTTATGCTCCAAAGCGTGTTGAGGTAGATGACTTACACGGACCGCTGTCTGGGATGAACGCGTTTTCGGCGTATAGATCTTGCTCAACGGGACCACACTGAGGTCCAATGCAAAAGTTGTTGCCGATATGCATCTTGCGGGAAGAGGGTACACTGCTTGTATTGGACAGATACAGACTACCATATGCAGAAAAGCGAAGCTGCGTGGTCTTTGCTAGATGTTGACAGACTGCCTTCACGCATCTCTTTCGCCATTTGCGTCGCAGCTTCGGCCAGATATCATGCAGAGAGACTCCTGTAGCATGCTCCATCATCAGGTAAGGATGACCAACGGTGTTGTTGGCGTCTTCTCTCCATTCGAGAATCTTAGGCACGGGAATGTCGGTCTTGGATGTCACTACTACTGTGATTAGACTTTAGCCATCAACTGCTTAGAGGAGGCAAACATACAGTATTTGATGGTGGCAACTTCTGAGTTGACTGCACGGCCAGCAAGACCGGCAGCTGGAGTGGTGAAGGCTGGAAGGACCGTATCGACTCCATCATCAGCAGATCCACCTTCCTCATCTCGAGCTGCGACCGATGCTCCGACTTTGACGACTCTTCTGACTCTGACGCTATTTCCCTCAAGAGTGTTGATTCCATGGCTGAGTTTGACTATGAGGATGATGATGCCTCTTCTCCATACTACTCCCTTGGTGAGTCTTCTGCCCTTACTGAAGCCTGGTCTGAACGTGCTGCATTCTCACTCGCGAGCTTCTCTGAGACCATGGGTACTTTGATTGATCGTGTGATTGCTCTCTCACCAACTGCAGCCACCGTCACCCTGAAACTGAACATTGGACTCATATGCAGTGAATGCGACGCCTACCTCCGCTGGACTGAGACTGAACACGAGCGTGCTGTTGCAACTGAAAAAAGCTCTCTGAAGCTCTCAAAATCACTGGTCTTACTGACAAGGTCACTGCCGTCATTGTTGAAGACATGACTGCTGATATGGTTGAGTTGTTTGAGGACTTGACTTCCTTTCACCCTTACTACAACGCTGAGTACAACGCTGGTAGGTTCAACGGCTATTTGACTGTTCTGACCGAGAGATTGGAGAAGCTTGAGGCTGACCAGCTTGGTGCTGACGTTGCTGCTGCTAAGGCTTACCTTGAACTTGCTGATAAGTAATTTTATATTCAAGCATTACGGTCTATTCATTCTAGTGGGTTGATTTGTTGTTCGGGCCATATATTCAAAAACAATAAAAATGATAAGAAATTCAGATCCGGGGTTTCGGGTCTGTCACAAAAAACTATACCGTGCGTCTCCTTTCTCTTTGTGATTGATACAGTGAGAGTGCTGGCAAACAGGGTTCTTCAGTGTTGGAAGTGAATAAATTCATTCTGACCGACAGCATTTCCTCCGCGTTTGACAAACTTTGTAAATTCATTACTATTGCTTCATGTTTGCCCACAGCTTCTCTCCGCCTCAAGCCACTACATCGCCTTTTTACATCTTTCAAACACTAATCATGAGTGTTCAAAGACCACTTCGTGACGATGTCGCCAGCCTGGAAGCCCGCGTGAGCGACCTCGAGTCTCGCACATCCATCCTCGTGAGTCCAGCTTTTTTTGTGGTGCTATGTCTCTCACATCTATTAACTGTATCTTCCAGTGCGCCGAGAAAGCCTACGATGCCATCCAAACCCATCAAGCCTGCAAGTTCATACTCGACGCTGTAACCCACATGAGCCACGACATGTCACTCATCTCTTTTGAGATGGCGCGAATCTCTGAGGAAGTGTCTAAACTCTCACAAGAGATGACAATCATCTCCAGCAAGATCAAGGATCTAGTCACCAAGACTAAGGAACTGAAGGTCATTGTTCCTGATATCCTTGACGCCACTACCAAGCACTCTGTAGACGCTGGCAAGAAGATCGAGAGAGTTGAGGAGGAGCTGGCTGAGGAGAGAAAGAAGCGCAAGGCTTTGGAGATGAAGATGGAGATTGTGTACGAGTGGTTCAAGACTCAAAAGCAGTGAACTAGATGATCAAGTGCTTCTTGATGATTGATCTCATCAAGCAATGATAATGGTTACCCATTCGCAAAACTCTTCCTCTTGGCTCACATCGTATCACAACTCTCCCCTTTCCTGAAAATGGTGTGTTTTTTACAGCTACACAAGTTCCTTGAATCGGACACAGAAAGATTGAAAGCCTTCAACAGCAAGCTTGCAAGTTTCATCTAAGCTGCCTCGGAGGTAACTTGACCGTAGCCCCTTGCAAAAGCCGCTCAAGCTTGCATGCACCCACTCTTACCCCCAAGAATGGAAGAAAAATCACTTTGTCGTAAATCTTTGTATCTGATTGATACCACTCCATTGCTCGATTGTCCAACTACAAGGCTTCATTGTCTACTCACAAAGCATTCTTTATACTCTAGTCTCCATTCACCCCCACAATACTTTATCCTCTCCATCCCATTCCAGATATATCAAGCCCCTAAACCCCTTGTCCCAAAACCCAAACCCTCACCTTCCCACTTTCCATACCCCATCTCTATTCACAGGTAAGTCCCCTTTGATCCACCTCCAACTACCACACCTCCACAGAAACCACTCAACCACACAATGTGCCACGGCGACTCCATATTCAAAACCTGTCTCCAATGCTCATCCTTCGACCAAATTTTTGAGTTGCGTGGTTATTGCTCTGTTACTCCTCCAACAAAGACTTGGTGGATTTTGCCTTGTGCGATTGTTGAAGAGGTTCCTGTTAGGGGTTTGTGTGAGGGATGTTTGAAGTGTGTTGATTGGTTAGGGGAGTTGGATGTTGGTTTGTCTGATCTTCCTGCCACTAACACTGACGATATTCCAATATTGTCTGGGGCTGGTGCAGAAGAATCGGAGTATGGAGATGAAGATGATGTTGACTCTATCACCTCAATGGCAAAATGGTCCACTAGATCTGGAGACCTCTACACTTCGGAAAAACACCTCAAAGCCATTTGTGAATGGTACGAAACCATCGAAACCTCCCTTGTTCCCTTAGGACAAAACCTCTCTACTCTATCCCCCCTTNNTTGCATGCACACCAAAAACGCCTCTCTAATTGCCAAACTAGGTATCCTCGAAGCCAAAACCCAACTCACGATTTCCTCCGCTTTGGCAGATCTCGAGTACGTTATAGAAACTAATACCTGGATACGTCAGATTACTTCTGATGTAACCAAGTTGAACAACACAGAGGCTGAAGAATTGAGGCAGGCAATGTTTGAGATGAGGATGAGGTATATTGGTTTGGTGGAGGATGTTTCTGCCGAGACAATCACCAGAAATTTGTGGAGTGAGGCTTGTGANGTTTTGTGACACCTTGAGGCTGTTGAAGAGGAGATGATGAAGAATGAGGTTGATGGTAGGTTCAAGGTTGATGATGGCGCAGGGGAGACTAGTTTGGTTTCCAGAGTCAAGAGTTTGGTTTGGTGGTAAAGCTTGCACAATGCGAATGTCCGTTCTGTTTACAGGTGTTAATAAAAAAATCCTTTTCTAAAATATTCGCAAGATTTACTGGAGTGTTATACAGGTCAGATTCCCACTCAAAGGGGTTTTACTAAAAGCTTGAGAGTATGCTAAGGCGCCGTCTCCAAATTTCGTGAAGGTGTGGAGCGAGATACATGAGGCGGCATTCTGCGCTGTCCATGTCGGCTACCGCAAGATTGGCCATGGCAATGTTCGATGACAGAATGCACATATGCTAAGCGTGCTCTAGAGGCGTGGGACTAAGTCTCAACAATGTAAACAGGCATGTAATTGCTGTCGAAGAGGGGAGTGTAGATGGAATATGTCATAACCAAAGCGAAGAGGTATCTCAAGCACTGATGTTTGAAAAGAACAAGGCAAGACCGTGAAGAAAAATGCAATGCGATAAACAAGAAATGATTCGGCCGTACAGAAAAACAATGCATAAACCAAGAAAAGCAGAGATCCAAAAGGGCAAGACGCTTCTAAACAAAGGAGATCAGTGATAGCTGCACCCCATCACATCGAAGAGACGACTACTGCCTTCGCTGCTGCAAGGGCTGCGGATGCTGTTGGTCATGGCGGAGGTCGTCTTTGTCGGGAGCTTTTGGCGGCCGATCGTAGGCGTAGTCGGCAGCGTATCCATGATCTCTGGGTTCAGCCGTGTGGGTCACAGCATCGTAACCATCGTCAAACTCCGCGTCTTCCTCATCATGCCTGTCGTCAGGACCGACGTTCTCATCAGGATATGTCTGAGCTGGAGCGGGCTTTCCCTTGCATTGTTCTTCTTTCCTTTTCTGTTCTTTTGCTTTGCCTTTTCCAAGAGACGCCTTCTTTCCTCTGCCTTNCTGACGTTCCTTGCGATCCTTGATCTCGTACTGACGAATCAGAGCTTCGGGACGGACACCCCAGATGTCTTCGTACTCGCAAAATTCGCAAATCCACATGGAAGCCGGTGTCGGACGAGTGTGGTAGTTTGTGTATTCTTGCTGGAGACGTCGCTGGCGTTCTTGAAGGGCAAATTCCTTGCTGGGGCGGCGAGGGCGAGGTTTGCGGGGCTGTTGCTGTGGTTGAACAGGTTGTACAGGCGGCGCAGGAGGGTTGGTGTGAGTGGGGACATGAGTTTGCTGAGAGCGAGAAGCCGAGTGGTTGGCCAGGGGTGAGCGAGGCATCGAGTTTGGACTAGGAGTGGGTTGTTGCTGGGGCCAGAGCATCTTGTTGGACGAGTCGGACTCGCAGGTAAAGGTGAACTGCGTCTGCGGTGTCGTCGTTTGTGAGGGCGAGCGGGCAAGGAGACTCTCGTTGTTCTGCTTGGTCGGCGTAGTCGGGGCTTCCTGGTCTTGGTCCTGGTGTGCGCTGGCAATGGCCTGGGAGATGATGCCGTCGGCTTGTTCTGCGCAGGGTGTGTAAGTCTCTAGTGCACTGTCATAGTCACTGCATCGTCGCTTACTGGTGCGAGTGCCGTCGCCCTTCCAGTTGCCTCCGCGCGACTTTGCCGAAAGGCTGGAAGCGTAGGCGTTGTGTTGCCTGCCAAACCTGCCACGTCCACTGCCTGACAACTGCCTCGAATCCTGCAAGTGCTCTTCCCTTGATGCGATACCCATGTTTGCCAACTCTTGCGACAGACTGGACTGGTGGACACCGCCACCGCCAGAAAGAGGAATCTTGCGCTTCTTCTTGTTGCTCGTGTTCTCGAATGATTCGTAACCGTCAGCTGAAGAGGCGGTAGATGCCGGGGCTGGAGGGGCCTTTGCTGCCATGAGTTTCCTCTGGACGCTGTCGACTCTGGAGCCATCGTTGACGGGGGAGGACCAGCGGTAGTTTGGGTGGTCATATGCGATCAGCTCTTCATCTTCGTCGCTCTCATCGACATGGTGGTCTCCATTGCAGGTGCAGTGACTGTGCGAGTCGTGGTGGTTGAGGGCGCGGGNGTCCATCTTCTCGACAACGCCGTATGGAAAGCTGAAGAGGGGTGAGGTCGACGGAGGCTCGGGTGGATAGATGATCTGGCTCTGCTGTTCGGGCGACAGCTGTTCTCGTAGGCGGTTCTTGGNGAGGGGTCTGATGGGCCGGTCGGGGTAGACTGGTGATAACGTGTCCGGGGATCTGGTTAGTGATGACCTTCGCGGCCACACATATTCTGCACGAGGGAGACACTGTCAGTTGGTTTGATCTAGAATCAACAGTCTTGGAGCGAGGCTGCGGGGTGTTGTGTGGGCAGCGTTTGGGCACACGACTTGGCTCAGACTGCCGCCACCTCGGCGCCGATAGCACGGACGAGAGCAGGCGCTCCAGACAAGAATAGTGCTTGGGAGGGAGACTCACCTGCGGCCGCCATGGTGATAGCATGCGGTGGTGGCGGGGCAAAGGTCAAATGTCCTCACCCTCTGCCAAATGCCCAATCTGCCAAGTCCCGTCTTTTGGAATCTGCCGGTGATTGTCCGCCAACTTGCAGTCCAGAGTTAGTCAGCCAAAGTCCGTGCCTCTCTCCGCTGCACCTCCGAGCCCGACCGCCTTTCCGATTGTCTCCTTATTGTGCCATTGCAACCACTCTGAGGGGAAGCAGGCAGATGACTGTGCGACGAGTCATACCATGCTATCCCGTGTGTCTGAGCGAGCAGAATCATGTGGAGCCTCACCGTGTAGGCCATAGCGAAAGCACAACGTAAAGGTGAGGCTCAAAATGATCCATGACCCTGTCCAGGCTCGGCAGTCGGTCCATTGGTCCGTGCAGAAGACTCTTTGACTTCAGCTCCTAGGTACAAACTCCGTCTGTCTCTCCTGTACATCAGAGATAAGAAAGACGACCTGTGGAATGATTCTTGTGGCATCCGACACAGTCTCCCAGAATTGTCTCAAATACTGTCGATAGTAGGGGTGGTTTGGGTACGTATGCATTGAGTGATTGACTGCGACAAAGACAAGAAGTCGACATGTGCAAACAATTCTCCAGAACATGTAGATATGAGAGTCCAGGCGGTGGACAAGCCTTCGACCGGAGAAGAGGTATCTGAGACCTCAACCCCATGTCTTGAGAAGCCATGTCGCTTGTCGAGCGGTTGACCGATTCAATGTCTGGTAGAGAATAGGTAGGCAGAAGTCAAGGCTCGAGCGACAAAGCTGGGTCAAAGACACGAAATAGCATCATCCAGAGCATCGCACTTTCCTTCCAACACAAGCTGTGTCTCTTGGCGTTGAAACACTGCAGCGCTTCCGTCTCAATCACTCACTTCCAAGACACTAACAACATTGCGGCGCGTCTGTCACAGCGATTCTTTACTTCCTTCTTTCCCCACCTCTCCCTTAACTACACAACAGTTCTTTCGTACATCTCACACTTCCTCTCTTACACCTCTTCGCTCTGGTCTTTCGTTCTTCTGCGCGCACATCACCATGCAGCGCTACTCTGTCGTCGTCAGCGACACTGGCTGGCTGGTGCCTCTCAAGCTCCTCGTGCCCTTCCAGTCTTCGTCCAATGAGGCCGCTCTCATCGCCGAAATCGTCAAGCGCGCAGCTCGCTACGGCAAGACTCTCAATGCCGCCAGCTGCACTTTGCGCCTGGCTAGCATCGATGGTCCCATCCTTGACCCTGATGACACTCTATCCGACTTGGTCGTCGACGAAGAGCTCTTTGCTGTCTTCAACTCTGCCAACAATGGACCTTCAGCCCAAGTAAGTTTACTCTCCGACTTTGAGTCTTATCTTTAGTCGACTTACGCAAAGCAGGCTACCGATGTCGCCATGACCGGAGCCCAAGGCCAAGCAACCGGGTCCCAGCAGTCGCCCACCATCCCCAACGCCATCTCCATTCGCATCATCACGCCAGTCATTGCAAAGTTGATGACCAAAGACCCAAAGTCCTTGCCTACGCCAGCCTTCAACCTGCCCGCCACAGCAAAGATCAAGCAGCTCCATAACGATGCCGTTCGCCATCTCAGCAACAACCCTCCTGACTGGTTGCCCTCTACTTCGGTGCTGGACCTGCACATCCACGAGCTACCTATCTCCGTTGCTTGTCTGGACTTGACTCTCGAGGAGACGGGCTTGGTCTCATGTGCCAAGGATGGCCTTCTCACTCTCTATGCTGTGCCGCGTCCTGCCTCGGCCGCCCGCTCATCCCAACCTACCGTCAGAGTCGTCAAGAATGACTTCTACGCTGCCGGCCCTCACTGGCAGCCTGATGTACCACAGTCTAATCGCGGTATCGCCATGTTCTTGTCGTCTCTGAGAGTCTTCTCACAGCTGCTGAAGAGTGACTCTTTTGGAGACGATCATAGGGACAGAGTTGTTTACGTCTTCGATATCTTGTGTTCGTTCCCTCCCGCTGTGCGCGCTCTGCACTTGTTGATTCAAGGACGCACCATCACTCACATGGCATGTGCTGCTCTAAGCCAGGCTTTCTATTGCGTGCTTGAGGACCTTGGCCACAAGAAGCTCATCAATAATGACAATACCAGACTNTTTGAAGGTACCCGTCCCGTCCTCGGTCTTATCATGGAGAAGGCCTATCAGCTCAAATCAACTCGGATCGTGGTGCCCACTTACTCGTTGCAAATCCAGAAGGTGCAATTTCAGGCCTCTGGACAGGCAGCATTCAACCTCATCCCTGTGGATGGAGACCGTCCTGTCGACCCCACCACGACATATGTACCGCCGGTGGTCGGCTCAGGACAGCTGAACCTGGAACTGCTCTCAGAGTCCGAGCAGGATGCAGTCGTGTTCAGTGACTTTGACGATCCTTCCGCTCGCATCCAGACTTCGCAAGAAGTTGTCAGTCCTGAAGATCTCCGCAACTTGCACCAGCTTGCCAATATCTGTGGCAAGGTCTGTTTGTCTGTCATCAGACCTTCTCTGCTATCTTGGGTTGCACCAGAGTACTTGACATTTGACTCACAAGGTTACGTGGCCGTCTACACTGGCAAGGCTGGCTGCGCCGCTCCTGGTCGCGAAACTGTNCTTTTCCGACCCCTGCACGGCGAGGAGACCCCAAACGTGGGACAGGTTGAGCAGCTTCTCGCCCCCATCCTTGAGACCTATGAGCAAGATGGCACCAACGTCTTCGATATACTCGGCTCGTCTGAAACCCGTGCCCTTGAGCAGCCTGACGAGATAGTCATGTTTGCTGTAGACTGCAGTGTGAGCATGTTGTCGGCCACGAATCTTCTTGGTGTCGACACTAGTGCAGATGTCCCCCAAGAACCAGAAATTCTACCAATCTCTCCTCATGTCTACAATCGAGTCGAACTCGAAGTCACAAAGAAGACTCTTTCTGAACACGAGGGCTTTGAAGAGATACTTGGCTGCGTAGTTGACACCTGCAGCAGAGAAAAACCTAAAGTCGCGGCCAAGATGCTGAACGTGCTCTATGACATACTCACAACTGAAGTTGCAAAGCTTCAAAGAGGACCTGCATTTGGCACATATCAACGCTACCAAAACAACTTCAAGATCGCAAACCTCGAACTCTTTGCCGCTGGCATCAAGCGTTTCGAACAAGAACTTATCGATATGGTCATTCTACGTTCAATGGCTGAACCTTCAGAAGATTGGACATGGGATTTAGGCGAAGACATTCCTGGCCGTACGCAGTTGCCGCCTCTTCCTAGCGAAGTCACTTTGATTCCCGCGGACCTCAGATGTCCGATTAAGCTTGACCTCATCCAGGATCCCGTCACCGCAGCTGATGGGCAAGTCTATGGTCGTCAGGCCATAGTCAAATGGATGGCATATAAACGTTCGTCACCACTGACTGGTTTGATGCTTCAGGACACCGAGCTCACTCCTCATCTTGAGTTGGCTGAACAAGCAGACAATTGGCTCCAAGCTGAGGACCTTGTCGAGCCTGAGGAACGTCCGATGAACAAGCGTCGCCGTACTTCACCTCGTAACAACGCGATCACGTTTTCAAGCCCTTCCCAGCAATTCTACAGAGTTCTCTCACCCAACACCACCTTGATTGACTTGTACAGNGTCGCATTCCGCGGCATGAGAGGCCGCTACAACTCNTTCCAGTTGTCGTTCAACGAGATCCTTCTACCAACCTCGGACACCATCTCATCTGCGGGTATCACTGGAGGCAGTTCCATCACTATCAATGTGCCTGATGATGCCAACACGATTCAGAATGGAACTTCGTCTCTTTGTCTGATCAGGGTCTACTCAAGCAAGAACTATTACTCTCCCGAGTTTTGTTTCTGGATCCCTAAGGACACCAAAGTCTCTCTTGGAAGTCTTACCATGAAATGGTGGCGATATCAGTGGACAGAAGATCCTTGGCATGATTACAAGAAGCAGGAGATCTGGACAGACCTCAAGAGCAACGGTGATGACCGCTACATTGGTAACATCGCCGAAGATGATGAGTCACTCCGCAGCTATCTTACCCATCAGCATGCCTTCGGAAAGCAGGAGCGTGAGCCTGTGTACAAGGAAGAGAAGAAGGGCTCTTCCGATGCTGATGAACTTGAACGTGATGAGGATCAAGAGAACGAATTCAAACCTCTGGTCTTGAAGGTCAAATTCTCTGAGGCTGCCGGTCACGAAAAGAGAAAGCGTTCCTTGTCTCGTCTCCAGGTCTTGAAGCAGATGTTCGAGGCTATGATCAATCGCCTGATTGCTTATTCGTACAAGACGCATATTGGCTTGGTCACCTTTGACTCAACTGCTAGAGTGTCTCAATCGATCACACACGTCATCGAGAACTTCAGAAGAAGTATGGAGAAAATGCACGCACGTGGTGATACCGCACTTTGGGACGGACTCAAGCTTGCACAGACTGAGATAATGAAACACGCCCAGAAGTATCCTCAAGCACAACGTCGTATCATCTGTCTGTCCGACGGCAATGACACCAAATCAACTGCTGGACCTGCTGATTTGTGCTGGGAGCTTCGCAACAACAAGATCGCTGTCGACTCGGTTTACATTGGTCACGATGACAACATGGACTTGAGAGCACTGTCAACCATGCTGAAGTCTTACTGCTTTTATCCTAGAGACCTGACAACTGCACTGGCTATCTGTGAGATGGAGCCCGTCTTGTCGCAGACTGAGCGTCCACCACCTGCTCCAACTACTACTGTGATCCATCGTACCTCAGCCTTGAATGACTTTTACAATGCTCGTTATATGGCTGCATTCACGATCGTCACTCAAGATGTGTACCCGAAGCGCAAGGAGCACCCCAGACTGGAGGACACTTTCATTCAGTTGGCCAATTGTGTCCGGTCGAACGCCGGTCCACAATCTGATCTTCCTACGTTGAGAGCGTCTCGTCTTCTCGTCGAGATGCGCAACATGGCTGCTGATCCCAACCCGATGTATGATTGTTACGTTTCTGAGGCCGACATGTTCTTCTGGAAGATTGTAATCGAGGGTGTAAGTTATGACGCATATGATCTGGCTTGGAAACGAGTTGCTAACATGTTTCAATAGCCTCCAAACACTCCATACGAGGATTGCAACTTCTTGCTGTACCTTGAGATGCCCGAGAACTACCCTACCTTCCCTCCGAAAGGTCGTTTCGTAACTCCGATCTTTCACCCCAACATCAACCGCCACGGCCGTATCTGCCACAGCATCTTTGACCGTGATTGGACCACAGACACCACTCTCAAGAGCGTTCTCGATACTGTCTATGGTCTTCTACTTCAAGCTGAGACCAGCGACGCTGTGTAAGTCTACTGAGGTTCTGATATCATGACAGCAATCACTGATGATGATCATAGGCACACCACCGTTACCCTCGGCTTCCATCACAACGAACTAGCCTTTGCAGAGGAGGCCCGCCGCCATGCCAACAAGCACGGCAGCAAATCTCGCGAAGAGTGGAAGTACGAGCTGCTTGACCTTGACGAGGAAGACGAGGAGGATGGTTATGATGAAGGTGAAGAGGAGGATGAAGATATGGACAGCCAGTGGTAGGCTCGCTTCTGTTTCTAGATGACAAACATGCATGAGGCGGAACGATATGGGTCGCGCTACATCACTCGGTGGCATGGAAAGTTCTCTCGCAACTGCCGTGCTACCATCGATCATTGCTTTTCCTGTACAATACATTCGAAACAGCTTTTAGCTCTGCTACATGCTCATTAGCCAAGAAGGAATTACAGAACGTTTCTTCTACAAGTCTTGATCTACATGATTTTTGGTGCACCCGTGTTAAACCAACCGGAGTACACTCTTGACTACCTTATCTATATCTGTTGTTGGATAAACATAGCCCTGCTGTTAAGTATTAGAAGCACGTAAATTTTTCACGACTTTTGAGCAAGGAGAGAAAGAGAAACAACAGCTTGAGATGCCACAAAGTCGTTGACTGAGGGTATCACCCTGTCTTGTAACAAAATCATCTCTCACTTGACGCATATTCATGTTTTTGGGATTGACTGTGCAGCAGCAAAGATATCTATCGCTAGAGTTTTGAACGACCAGCTTGAAAAGAAGAATAGCTTTATACATCTTTGTGACAATGTTGGTTGGACTTTTGCACCTTTCATTTACTCTAAGTGACGCAATACGGTCGTTACGGAGAACTTGTCACATTGTTTTAGCATGCCTTTTGGTAAGTGTGGATTAATGGTTGCTCAGGCAAGGCTATAACAACACTCTTCTTTCTTGGTTGTGTCTTATAATGGCTATAGTCGTCTGACTAGTTCTTGGATTGGAATAGAGAAAACAAAATAAGGGAAGAATAAAGACGAAGACAAAACGAGTAATCACTCTATAGAATTTGAGAGAAGTCATGGGAGTATTGTCTATACTCTGTACTAAGTAAAAATAGTTTCTGTTTGATGAGTATAGAAGCTCGACATCACATGCTACAGAATGTTCCTTCTTGCACACTTTGATAATCTGCCAGTGAGACTAATGCGATGATATCTAACCAGCAGTTATACGTAGCTCTAATCGAATGTTTAAAAGCCCTGGATCTTGGTGTGAAAGTGATGGTTATTAGTATGGATGTCGGAAGAAGTGCATGCAGCGATAGCGGTAGCGCACTTTGTGTTGAGCAATGAGCCTTCGAGGCAGAGTCTGATGTAGTTTGTGGTTTGATAGATCCGAAGGTTAGCCAGGAGAAGCAGGGAGAATAGGTGTCGAGTGTACAAAGCTTCTCGTGGGTTGAATGGATAGCGGAAGTGACAAGGCAGCGATGAACAAGAGACATATCATGGAGAAGGGATGGGTACTAGGCGCAACTCAAAAGGAAGCATTGGAAGACGTGATGATAAATGGTTCTGGATCAGGATCAGATTCGAAAGGAGAAAGTCAGCGAAGTTTGTGGCGCACCAGCTACTTGAGCTGGTATGTTTCTGCGCGAAGATAGGGTCAACAGCAGGATAGAAAGAGCAGGATAGATAGACGTCTGGCGAGATTGCGGGCAGGAAATCGAGGCGATTCCCGGCAATGATTGTGCATGCAAAGAAAGAGTTGTGTGTTGCTGAATCGTAGTGATCGGGGATGAAACAAAGTCGGCGACGTTGCCAGTCAGCACCATCCAATATCCCCAACTTAGCGACAGCTGAGGACACGGCTGGTCAAAAGAAGGGACTGCAATCTCAGGGGCAGTAACGTTTTGCAAGCGCTCTCATCAGTTGCGACCTGATCCAGGAGACTTTGAGGGCACTTCAAAGAAGAGGTGTATGGAGCGTTTGATAACCGGACGTCTACCTCGTTTGCGACGACAGAAGCATCGAGTCCAGGCTGTGACGATGATGGTACCAGGTCTGAGCGTGTGAAGGAACGTGACAAATATGCAGGCAGTAGAAAGCGAGGTGATATGCAGTCGATTGCGAAATGGACAAAGCGGCTGGCCCTGCAGAAGTTCGTGCCGCACCCTCGGGGAAGAGTTGTAGACGAGCGCCACAATAACAAACTGGCGTCGTTATACAGCTTGACGTTCGGTGTACCCAGAATTTGCTCGCGGCATCCTCATCCGATGATCAGTAGTCAATGATGTGACTCCCAGGTTGATGGTACATTGCATGTTCAGAGCTGACGTGACTAAGAAGTTCTGTGGTACCAACCTTGGTCTCCGATCAAGACATTAAGGCTTGTCCCCAGCAACGGCACCGACTCTACAGGCTTGGAATTGGATGATCCTCATGAAAGTCCGGGAAAATGGAAGACTGAAAGCTGCAGATTATTGTTGTTGGGCGACAGATGTTGATGAAGGCGTCGCGTAGAAAGTGGAGAAAATTTGTGACGGCGGCCGACTCGAAGGCAAGAACGTTTGGCTACTTCCTTATTCGGTCGGAAGATCTTGCAAAACAAAGCTCATTCTGGTAATCCTCTTCTGGGGTTTCTGGATCTAGTTCGGACATGAGACAACATCCGAGACACTCACCAAGAAGATAGACGATGGCCTGACAGACGGTCACGTTAACCAGGAAAAGCCTGCTGGGCCCTCGCGACTTGAGTCCAGATTCGGGGAAGCTTTCTACGTAGCTGCGGAGCAGGCATCGTTTTCTTGCTTCGACAGCAGATCAACTGTCGCATATAGACAGATACGAACGTCGATATGTCTCTGCCGTCAGAATGCTCGCGGGAAGGACATTGTCAGGTGTCGAGTCGGAGCTGGCAGCGGGTCGTTCATCAGTCGGGCAATTGGTCCGCTGACGACCACTCACTTTGGGTCGGACGATGTTCCTTCCCGACGTGCAAGCTCCCTTTTGGTACACGTCGTAATTTGGGTACATCGAGGTACCGCAAGGGGCAATATGTCAGTTGGATGTTAATCAACCTGGTCACAATTCGGAAAAACACAGCGACTTCGAGCCGTCACGTTTTGCGGAGCGGGGCGATCCTTTCGCGGGCCGTCGGAACCACACACCATCCAAACCTTCTTTGCCATGAAAACTCGACTTCTACTTCCTCATTTCAGTACGAGTCGCATGGTTGACACGTTCCTCACCAACGACCTTCAACAAGCGAAAATGCACTGTTGTGAAGGGGCATGCGCGTGCCCCATTGCCGAGGCCAGAGCCAGCTGCGACGACGAGTGTGGCAGCGTTGCGGACAAGCATCGTGCACACGCTCAAGAAGGTGAAAAGTGCCGTCGCTAATGCGGCCAAGTTTTCAAGAGATCCTTACGCATGATGGCATTTGCTCTGTGCTTTCGTGTCCAAAGCTTGCGAGTGCAGTCATGTCCAAGTGTCTCCCGGTCTGTGAATAGCAACAGCCATGCTGCACTTGCGCCGTCGACGACACCCCAAGTCATCTCATCGAATCAGGTCGCGTTCCAAGGATCTCGCATGTTCTCCCAGCATCGCATCTGGGACCTTTTTCAAATTGTTTGCATTAGTCCGATCGCGTTATGTGAAGCAGGTCGATCAGTTCATGGGCTCAGTTGGTCTCCAGCTAACAAGCCAGCCCTGGAAAATCACCCGCCAGATTGGGTGCTGAATAAATTGACAGCGCCCCGATTTTCACACCATTACTGCAATGACACGAATTTGGGTCTTTTGGATGAACTTTTTATATTGCCCACCACGACCAAATGAATATCGCGACCTCCGAAGGATCTGTGGATGCACGTTGACCGTTTTCACTCAGGAACCGGTGCCAATGCAGACGGTAAGCTACCCTTGTTGTTTTCTTCTGCGTTCTTCATGTCGGTAATGCAGACTGTGGAAGTAAAGGAGAACTATACGGGAAACGGACTCATGGAAAAGATGAATTCGTACGAGAAGTGGGACCGTCCTAGCAACGGTCTGCCCTACAAGTCCAAACTGGGTATCAACTTGCACATCACCGTTACAACTTCTGTCTACATTGAGGCAAAACCCAACAACCTGGTTCTGATAGACCCAAGGACAAGGATCGGGAGATCATCATGACGCTCTCCAGATGCAATATGGGACTAATCTATCCTGCACTCCAGATCGAGGATGTGAGATGGAAGGCCGTAGCTCATCGCCAGAGTGGGAAGGCATTCTTTGAGATTTGTCAAACGGCATGGATCCTTATCCACAGGTGTGGCCCGTCTGTCATTGTTCGTTCTGTACCTGGAAACGACGTCCAAGGCTCCCCGTTACGCCACCATCGATGTAGGGGCACCAGTGTGATGGGACAAAGGAAGTTTATCCTGAGTCTAATCTAGCGATATCTCACTTCCCGTGTCACCAGTGTATATGTACTGGCTTGACGCCTCTCACGCTTGTCTGCATACCACCTCATTCCTCAACACACTCTTTTCTCACCCCTCAGGCTTTCAACGAGGTCAAGGCTGGTGCAACTCGTTCTCGCTTCCTGTCGGCATTTAGTACCTTCGTCGTCCACTTTCGTTCTGGTACCACATCTGGACCACTCAAGACCAAGCCTGACCTCAACTTTCCGAGATGGCTACTCACAGCTCATTCGGCAAGGACCTGGAGAAGGGCAGCGACAAGCAAGTTGTTGTGATCACAGAGAAGAACTCATACTCTTCNTTTTCAAGCATATCAACGTCATCAACACTTGTCAGCTTGTCAAAGCCAGAGGAGTCGACAAAAGCCGAGGAATCTGTTCCGCCGAAGCGACAGGCCAGGATCATTCGATACTTGCGACACACTGGTCTCAATGTATATCGGAGAATCTTCTCAATCGTCTTTCTCGCTAATCTTGCTGGTTTGATCGGCCTACTGGCGTCCGGGTACTCCTCCATCTTGACCCACATGCCGTATGCGGCCAACGCTGCAGCAGCCAACTTTCTAGTCGCGATTCTGATTCGTCAAGATTATATCTTCAACATGATCTTTCGCGTTTGCCAACTGGTGCCACTGTCAGCACCGCTACGACTGCGCAGAATACTCGCCAAAGTTTACGAACATGGTGGCATGCATTCTGGATGTGCGATCGCCGGAACCATGTGGTTCATTCTTCTGACTGTCCTCATCGTCGTCAACTTTGAGTCTGGTCGGATCATTCACACACCTCTTGTACCGATCTTTACCGTTCTTCTGCTCATCTGCTTCCTCGTAATGTGTGTCTTTGCGCATCCCGCTGTTCGACACAAGTTTCACAACTCTTTCGAATTTACCCACAGATTTGCTGGCTGGTGTTCGATCGTCGTATTCTGGGTGGACCTTGTTCTCATCGCCGACACTGTCCGTCTCCAGAATACCACCAGTCCCGAGCCGCTGGGTATTGCCCTGGTGAAGCTTCCTGCTTTCTGGTTCCTGATAATCATGAGTGTGCATATTGTCTTGCCTTGGCTTCGTCTTCGCAAGGTCGCTTTCACCGCCGAACGCCTGTCAGAGCATGCTATTCGCTTGCACCACAAGGAGCACATGGGTCCTTACCGTGGCATTGCCATTGCGGAGTCGCCTCTTGGTGAATGGCATCCTTTCGCCTGCTTCCCCGATGGTGATGGCGTCAACAACAGCATCATGATCAGCCACGCCGGTGACTGGACTCGCAGAACCATCGATAGCCCCAAGTCCCATTACTATGTCAAGGGTGTTCTCAAGACCAACGTATTGAGTATGGCTTCCATCTTCAACCGCGTCCTTCTTGTCACCACCGGCACAGGAATCGGACCCGCTCTTTCATTCGTTGCTGAGCCTAGCCGTAAAGGTCAATGCCAGGTCTTGTGGGTCTCATCAGCTCCCGAAAAGACCTTTGGTCAACCTTTGATTGACTGGGTCTACACGCTCAATGGCAATGCAATCGTGTGGGACTCGAAGAAAGACGGCCGTCCTGATATGGTTGCTCTGACGTTGCGGCTGTACAAGGAGATGAACGCCGAGGCTGTCTTTGTTGTGAGTAATCCCAAATTGACCAAGCAATTGGTGTATGGGTGTGAGAGTCGAGGTGTCCCAGCGTATGGACCTATCTTCGATTCTTAGATGTGTTCTCCTCTTCTTTCCCTTCTTCTTGTTTATCTTTCTTGTCTCTTCTCTTCTGTTCTTTCGTTCTTCTTTACACTGTACACTTTTTCGACATACCTTCTTTCTTTTCTGTCTCATTTCTCTCCCTATTTTGGTTTTTGGTCGTTTCTTCTCTCCTCTCTGTTTCCATATACATGAGCGACGCAAGTCATTTACAACTTCTTCAATATCTTTCTTCTGTTGGATTAGCGACTTCAAAAGTCAGTGGGGCGGCGAATTTGGCTATTCTGTTCCGGTCATCCTCCTATATCCTTACCCTATATCATACAATATTCTGATTCCAACCTTGGAATCTTCTCAAATCAGTTCCATTGTGTTGCACGATACTATGAGGAATCTGTCAATAGAGGCTGACACAACCTTCGCTTACCGATGAAATTGGTTCTTGCCGTGTCTTTGTGGCATCTCCTTATTGATACCTTATTGACTCATTCGGTGTTCTGCGATCTTGTTTCCAACCATCTCTTCGGTCGAGCCTCCGTTGAGATTCGCATGGCCACAATCCCTTTGTGGTACTCGGCACTTCCGCGTGGCTCAAGCGGAATCTATCCAAATCGAGGTGTCAATAAGACAGGACAATCCTCTTTTCTCCAGCTACGGTTTTGCCAGCAAACCAGGGACTGGACGTCAATTGAAGCAAGCACAAGATCATGTGATTCAAGCTCAATGTCTGCATGTGGATTGCAGCGGAGCCGCAAAGACCCAAGTGGTTGTTGTGCATGTTGGGTGTCTCAGATTGCCGAGAACCATTTGACCTCGGTTCATAGCGGTCGCAACCACTTTGTCGGGAATTCGAGATGCAGCTAGCATCGCATGACGCTGGCGTTTCGGATATTCAGGATATCTCTATCTGAAAAGATTCAGAAACACGTTTCTTGTCGCAAGTGATGTCTTTGACGTGAGTGTTGAGGTTTAAACTGCTCGTGGAGAGGCTGGGTTGCGGCGGAAGCTCGAGCTGTCTTGGCATTTCCGCTTCTTGCGCTTCTGGCTTGGGAGGCTTGCCGTGTGTTTTTCTCGGCCAATGTCGAAGGAACCAATCAATCATACAACATGTGGTTGCTGCGAGGTCAATTGAAGCCTTCCAAGCATCGTGCTGGCGCCACAGAGCTGTGATGACTAAGTTGTGGTGCTTGCAATAGACGATGTCAACTTAGCAGTCGAGCGATGACATCTCGGTCTTGTTTCGCAGACGGGCGTGATGCTCCACGATGCCTATCTCTGACAAGAGATTCATCAAAGATATCATCAACCCCTGAGGCGAGGACCGAGATATAAGAAGCACGGCATCGCTCGCAGATCAGGGCATCTGGCTCGGAGCTCTCTTGAGCAACCCCACAGTTTACCAAGATGTCATGACGACCTTCCTGATTTGCGTCGGCGATCGCGGTCGCGTCCGACAAGTTTTATGGCGGTGGAGAGGCTTTGAACCAATCATTTTCTACACGCTTCCCTGTCGGACGACTATCTCGTCTGCAGTATGGCTTCATAGACGGCGCAGAAGAAAATATGACGATCAGGGTATATAAGAGTCGAGCATGGCAGCACATGGCCGTGTTCAACACATAGCTTGTGCTCGTCAACTCTCGTCAACATGCGCTACTCAATCACTGCAGCTTCGCTCTTCTCGACTTCAGCACTCGCTGTCCTGTACCCTGGCCAGAGCGACCTCAACCACACTTGCCAGATCAGTGAGTATATCATGAGGCATTGCGACAGCAGCTAGGAGGTTGCTAACGCGTTATTCGCACAGCCNAATGACGACGCCGTCTTGTCCTGCTCCAGTGCCGCCAACCCCAATACCGTCGACTCGTGCTGCGCCGAAACATACGGAGGACTCCTCCTCTCGACCCAATTCTGGTCTACATACACTGGCCTCGAGGCCGAAGGTCAATTGCTGCCTGCCGATCAGTGGACGCTGCATGGACTGTGGCCCGACTTCTGCAATGGCTCGTACACTCAGTACTGCGACTTGAACAGACAGTACGACCCTACACCTTCGCCAAACACTACCAACAGCTTGCCCAATGGTACTGTCGTTCCACCTTACAAGGGCCCCAACGTTGGCACTTTCCTCGAGGCTTTCGGCAAATATGACCTTCTTTCGTGGATGAATAAGTACTGGATCAACCAGGGCGCTCCCAACAGGTATGTTTCAAGTTCTTTCAAGGCCAACTTTCGCTGACCCTAAATTAGCGACTTCTGGGGACACGAGTTCAGCAAGCACGGAACCTGCTACTCCACCTTCGACGTGCCTTGCTACGGCCCCGAATACGTCCAGCACCAAGAGGTCGTCCAATTCTTCGAGACCGCTATTCTCTACTACCGTCGTCTTCCTACCTGGGGTTGGTTGAATCACGCCGGCATCAAGCCTAGCAACAGTACCACATACTCGATCGGCCAGTTCCAGGATACCCTCACCAGAGGTTACGGTGCTTTGCCCTACATTGGCTGCAGCGGTCCCAAATACAACGAGACTGCTGCTGGTGCTGGCTCCATGGACAATGGCAGAACCCAGATCTCCGAGGTCTGGTACTACTTCCATGTAAGTGTGATATATTCTGAAACGAGAACGAGCGGTGGACTGATGTAACTTCCANNGGCTCTCGGTCGCCCTCAGAGCGGCGCTTGGGTCCCTACCAACGCCACTGGCTCTGTCACCAGCTGCGCAAAGGCTGCCAATGCCCTTCACTACCCTCTCCGTGCTAACGGCTCTACATGGCAGTGAAGCGTCAAGAGTCGAGCGAGACGATGTCGATGAGGGCGAATAAAATGTGTAATGTGTACAAAGCTGTCGAAAGTAAAAGTTATGTATAGTGCAAGGCCCGACTTATTCTGCCAATGATTATTGTCAGCCCTCGTTTCGGTGCGTATGTTTTGTCCTACCATGTGCGCCCTTTCCACGCCTTGTACTGTGCCCTGGTATCACGCCCTGTCAACCCTCTTGTCTCGATTCTGCCTATCAACCCCGCGAACCTTATCACCCTTCGTGAATTTCTTTTCTACTTCCATGCATCCATCTCTTGCTTATCTCGCACAAACGAGTCGAACACGGATCCTTCAAGATGGTCGAGTCATTAAAAACTGCTCAACACCGAGAGTAGCCGCAGCAGCTTCGGCTTGCCGCAGACAACGCACCGCGAACCATTCGGCTCATTACCCCAGCCGTGCCAAGCGACAATCCCCCATACCGATTCCATGAGTCTGTCAATGCGATCGAGCTACGAGGTTTCTGTTACTTCATAGTTTGCTATTGGATGCGGAGGGCATCTTGCGGGGTTATATCTGATAGCGCTATCTTTGTGTGGTGTTGTGCGCGGGAAGGTAAAGTCCTTGGGCAGGTATATGAAGGCTTGCTCGTCTCTCACTTTCCTCTTTTGTGTTTCTTCCTCATCAAGACTTTTTCTTCTTTTCCTTGAGGCTTTCTATAAAAGTTGTTGTCTTGTTTCTTGTTGTCTTTCTCAACATCATGGAGAAGAACGACGATATGAAGGAGTTTCCTGAGGTCACTGCTGCCGTTACCAAAGATGTTGGCGATGTCGAGAATGCAGGCGCTCGCAACCACACCAAGCGAGGTCTTTCTTCTCGTCAAGTGCAGTTCCTCGCTCTTGGTTTGTCAATCTCAGCTGGCATAATCGTATCTCGACTGACTATCATGCANGGCGGTGCCATCGGTACTGGCTTGTTCGTTGGAAGTGGAGCTACTCTCTCAGCTGTCGGCCCTGCCCCACTGCTTATGGGATATGTGGTGATGAGTTTTGTCGTTTATGGAGTCATGAATGTCCTTGCTGAGATGACTACCTATCTTCCTCTTGAGGGGTTGAGTGTACCTTACTTCGTCAATCGCTTTGTGGACCCCAGTCTTGCTTTCGCTATGGGTAAGCTATGCCAACATGCCTTCCCCAATGCCAATCATTAACAGAACAACNNAGGATGGAACTACTGGTACACCTTTGCCATGTTGCTTGCCGCCGAAGTCACCGCAGCTGCAATCATCATTCAGTACTGGACCGAAAGTGTACCCGTCGCCGTATGGATCCTCATCATCCTGCTTGTCATTCTCGCATTGAACATCATCGCTGTCTCCTTCTTTGGCGAAGCCGAGTTCTGGTTCGCCTCAATCAAACTGCTGGCAATCATTGGTTTGATCATTCTTGGTGTCGTGCTTTTCTTTGGTGGTGGCCCGAACCATGATCGACTTGGTTTCCGTTATTGGAAGGAGCCTGTAAGCGTGCTCATATCACAACATCGTTTTTCAAACAAGCCGTGCTGACATTATCTANNGGGAGCTTTCAACCCATTCGTCGCCAAAGGCAACGGTGGCAAGTTCCTCGCCTTCTGGTACGCCTTCATCAAGTCCGGTTTCGCTTTCATCATGTCACCCGAACTCATCGTGACCGCCGCCGGAGAAGCCGAAGCCCCTCGTCGCAACATCCCCAAAGCCGCCAACCGCTTCATCTACCGTCTGTTCGCCTTTTACGTCCTGGGAACGTTGGTCATCGGTGTTACTGTGGCCTATAACGACAAGAGCCTGCTCAACGCCATCAGCAGCGGCTCACATGGCGCAGGTGCCTCACCCTTTGTCATCGCCATCCAGAACGCAGGCATCAAGGGCTTGAACCACGTTATCAACGCTGCTATCCTGACTTCCGCCTGGTCATCAGGAAACGCTTGGCTCTTCTCCGGTTCACGTATGCTCTACTCCCTCGCCCTCACAGACCAAGCCCCCAAGATCTTCNNCCTTCGCTGCAACAAGAAGGGTGTTCCATGGGTAGCTGTACTCTTCACCTTCTGCGTCGGCTGTCTCGCTTTCTTGAACGTAAGCAACAGTGGCGCTTCCGTCTTCAACTGGTTCACAAACATTACCACCATCTCTGGCTTCATCGCTTGGATTGTCGTGCTGATCACTTACCTCCGTTTCCGTCGCGCAATGTTGTTCCACAATATGCTTGACGCTTTGCCCTTCCGCACACCTTTCCAACCCTACTCTTGCTACTTCTCGCTTGTGGTCATGGTGCTTGTCACCTTAACTAATGGCTTCTACGTCTTCGTGCCTAGCAAGTGGAATGTCTCTGACTTCTTGGTTTGCTACATCACCATTCCTATCTTCTTGGTCTTGTGGTTTGGTCACAAGGTTTGGAGCAAGAATTGGAAGTGGTGTATCCCTATTGAGGAGGTGGATGTGTGGAGTGGCAAAGACCTTGCTGATGCAGAGGAGTTGGAATACGAAGTCAGAGAACCGAGAAACTGGGTTGAGAAGGTGTGGTTCTGGGTTGTTTGAGCCATACTGCAATGGTTGAATAAAAGCTTTATGACTGCGATGGTACTAAATATATGAGAACGCGAGGTGCAGATTTTGATATAGGAACAGATACAAGATACTGCAAATGAGATATCGATCAAAGATCTCGTGAGTCATGCAACCCAGTCCCCGAGGGCCGCCACGTTCCGGACCGCGGGGCTTGAAGTTTACCATCTACGCGCACGCTCGAAGCAAGTACGTATAACTTGTATGTATATGTGGAGACGTAACAGCTTCGTCATTTGAGTTTGGCAGGAATCCTCCAGGTTGCTCGAGTTACAAAACCTCTAAGTCTCTAGGAAACCACTCCTACCTCAGAGCTTTGAACCATCACACTTCATTTGATACTTCTCTCTTCATCTGATTGTCACTCTCTAGTCATATCTGATCCAGGTTCCCACTACACGAATCCAATGTCTGCACCACACCAACCAACCCGTTTCCGCATCGAAGATCTCTCTCCAGAGGAATACCACGCCGAAAACTCACGCCTCAAGGCCTCAATGGGCGACTCAGCCTATCTCACCCTTCACAAATCCGAAATAAACACCAGAATGTCAGAAATCACAGCTGGAATAATGTCGGGTCGAATTTCGCTACCGCCAATCACACGTGTCCAAGAGCCAAATCAAATCAGTTTCGACGGTCGACAGTTTCGTGTGGGAACTAGCGAAGGGGTTCCAAAAGCACATCAGTGACGCTATGATGGATTTTGTTTCGAGAGATGAGAGGGAGGCTGAGCAAGTGTCTATAGAGGTGCCGGAAGAGTGGTTGCCATATGAGATTAAAGCTGGCGAGGATGAGGAAGAGGATGACCCTGAAGCTAATGAAAGGCAGCAGGACCAGGAAATCCTGGATGGAGAGTTTTCTGTAAGGAACGTTAAGATGCCGGAGTGGAAAGAATCTGCTTAAACAAGGAGTGTAGCTCCGTAGTCTCATCAAGTGCCTTTGCGTTGTTCTTGTATAGAAGTTTGGGAGGCGAGGTACACGTGTGCGAGTTCGAAACAATTGAAAGAAAGAAGGAATTACTCAAAAGATTAGAAATTCAAGTTTGGGTGCGGTCTATAAAACTGAAATACATTGTAGTTGAAAGCTATTTCATTATTTATCACTTATGCTAGTTTGACTAGACTCCAGAAAGCAAAACAGAAGACAAAAGCTCTTGCAGACCCAGAAAAGAGAAACATATCTTATAGAACCAATGATGGCCGTGGCGGACCTAGAGATGAGTCTATGTTGCCTCTAGTCAATTTCCATCACATCTCTGGGACTGTCAACATCCAACTCGATGACCTCCATTGGTTGATCGTCGTCAATTTCAATAACCTCCCTAGGATCATTAGGGCCAGGCAATGGTCGAGGATCAGGTACGCCAAATGCGGTGGGGATGCGAATACGTGTTCCAGTATCAGCATGAACAGGACCACGTCCAGATCCATCATGCCAGTGTGGCGGGTCATAATCACCACGATCATCGTTTGGGCGATAGAGATGAGGAAACTCTCTGTCGCGGCGTCGAACTTCTGCGATCAGTAGTTTGTCCGTGTCGGTTGGTCTATCATCATTGTCGGTATCGGATGATCTATCCCAGTTCTCACCTTGGATAGTTCTTTGGTCGCGAACTTCTTCCCGGTGGAAGATGAGATTGATCGTTTTGTGATCAGGGTACCTAGAGCCGTCAGAAAGAGTGGCATGCAACAAAGAATTGTTAGGAAGGACTGCCAGGTTATAGGTATGCTCTAGTAGTTGGAGCCACTCTGTGAAGCGGCGAGCATGGTTGTGCACACTGTTCTCAGGGTTTCTTGTGATCTCTGCGATCCATTCAGCGACTTCATCCTCGTTCACGCTAGTGGTGCTGTACTCAAAGACTCTCAGTCGGCGGCGGAATGCTTGGAGGCAAAGTCTTAACAAACCTTCTTCGAGGTACAGTGCAGCATCTGCAACTTCCTGCATAATGTCATTGTTGACTTCCTCAAGAGCACGTTGACGAGCATAGAATCCCATGTCAGCAAGACCTCTACGAAAAGCGATAAGTCGATTGCGAAGATCACGAGCAAGCGCATCGTGCAAGTAGGTGCTGTAGTCGGACAAACGTTTGAGCGTGCGTAGAGTGATTGGAATGTACATGGGATCATTCTCGGAATAGATTGGAGCGTGCCCACGACTCGCGACCTGGTCGTATGTAGGTAATGGCGTGTCGTTGAGCGCGGTCTGTGGGATTGGGCCTTNGAGAACTGCAGAGGGGACCTCAGCTGGTGGTAGAGTCCGCACTGGAGTCGTTGGTGGTGGGGGCAGATCTTCATCCATGTCATCGCTGGCCTCAGTCGAGTCAATCAGGTTCGGTGTGTCAACCCATCTCTGAGGTTCGGGACCATCTGTCTCTCTCCTTGCGATGATGTCGTTGATTTGATCAACGAGCTGGTTCTCGGGTACGTTTCGTTGGAACACAGTCGTGCCACCATCAGGGAGCTGACGGTTCAGCTCGCGAGCAACGAGCATTGGACCTGTCAATCTACCCGTTGCAATAGCAGTGTCAGTCTCAGACCTTTCGTAGTCCGGAATAGGTGGGTATGAGTGGCCGTGATCTTCGGGATGCCAGGTTTCACGCGGAGGTGAAGGCGTGGGTGTGCGCTCGTTCAGTCTAGTGAGACATCCGGTACACGGCTTCTCTTCTTGATGATACACCAACCAAGGGTTAGGGCAGGTACCAAGAGCATTTCCAGCAGCGCATTTGCCACTGTCAGCGTCAGCGCCAAAGTCATACCATCTGGTTTTCCAATGCTTGTTGATGCACTCACCAATCGGGCAGACGAACGTGGTACGTTCGCCGAAGCACATCGTGCTAGTTTTTGTTGTTGTGTTGAGGAATCCCGATCGTCGGGATTCGAGAGTAAAGTTGTGGAAAGGATTCTTGAACTCCTGGTAGCTGTTTTCACTGCTTATGTATGTTTTGGTAATCTCACCAAATCGCTACTGCCTAAAGGGGGCCAACACTGCAGACAATGGATTGTATGGCTGTACAATGAACCTCTGTCGTCGCTGAAAGAAGTCTAGTGAATTTGCACAACACAATTCTTTGTATAGTCTGTGGCTTCCCGTGGGGTGAGCGCCAGTACCAGGGGACCTTGACCAGGAAGGACCACATTAGCATCAATGAGTGTGGCAACGCTTGACTAACTGCATATGGATGGCAGTTTCTCGTCTCCTTCGTATAATCAACAATCGAGTATGCATTCTGGTGTTTGATGGTGACATCAGTGTCGGAACTAGACACTATGCAAGGCTTGCTACTTCCAGATCAAGGCTCTATACCGCGGACTCCCCCCTTCTACCGTGTGATTCTCTGATCATCGAGACTTCATGATTGCCTGTGACTGAACACAGAGTGTCCTCAGGGGTCTAGTGTTTACCTGATTTGGCCTTTACGGCAGCGACGTTCAACTTGGCGCCTCATTCGGCCTTCTCGCGCTTGAGGTCCTCCTTCTCAGCCTCCTGGGCACCGCCCTTGGCTTGGGCTTCCTCCTCATCAACTTCTTCGATCATACCGAGACCCTCTTCAGATCTGACTTGGTTTAGAACAAGCAGAGTGAGATCCAGTAGCTTTTTGCTTCAGGATCCTTCCACTCGTGCTTGGCAGCGCTCGATGTAGCTTCTGAGACAGCCTCGCGAGCGTGCATGTAGATGTCCTGTGTGCCTTGGGCGAGGAACTGATAGACAGTTAGCTTCCTGCTGTGATTCAAATTTGAGACGTCTGTGTGCTGAGGAATCGATGTCGCGTGTAGCCATCGTAATGCACAATGTTGACTAGAGACACGAGTTTATCCATTGAGTCGGCAATCTGTTGATTCTCAATGGATCGACCGTGAGTCTTGAAGCAGTCGTGCATTTTGATTATGGAACCAGAGTCCAGCAGTCGCCAAAAGACCGCCCAACCCCTGCGGTAAGCGTCGCCATCATCGCGCTGCCTCTCATGCCGCGCGCGGTGGCAAGATTACGACCGAAGACTATGCCAAACCTCTCCTGCTCCCACGTCGTATCCTCTGGTGCAGAAAAGGTGGTGAGGCCGAGAGATGGCTTTGTCACACCCGTCTGCCATGGTGGTTCTTTGGGTCTTTCATCAATTTCTGCTTTGGTCACAGAAGCGGAAAGAGTACCCTAGCCCAGTGCTTGAAAGGATATCCCATAGACGAGCAAGCCCTGATCGAGGAGATGGAAGACTATTTCGATGCTTGGACTGAGGGCGAGGAACACGTTCGTCATACAGTGTTGGTCGATCTGTATGAGCTAGGTAAGTGTTTGCATTCTCATGAGAAGTGGAGTGTGCATACTGAACGAATGGCAGAACACCATAGGCATCCCGCAACCTTCCTCAAAGAAGCACAAGAAGAGCTTCTTTGGCAAATTCGGCAGGCCCCAGATGTCAAGCGGTTTTACTTTCACCAGAGACGCAGATGGTGTCCCGGATCGCTCACTGAAGATGAGAAAGAGTCTCTGCGCATCGTTCCCGAAGGCTATGGCTATCCTACTTTCAGCCTGCCTGTTCGCTCGGGTGTCTCTCATCCCAACACAACATCGGCCTCCAATCAACACGGTCCCACGATCGAGCCTTCCAAATCGCGTCAAGATCACAAAGCCTCGAATCCTGATCGAGTTGTCGTCCCTGCTTCTGAATCTGTAGCGAAGTCATCAGCTCCCAATTCCGCCAACCCTCGTACCTTCACCGTGCCTCTGCGTCCGGGTGCTGGTCGACCCAACGGGACCGCTCCAAAACCGATCAATCACTACCACGACGTTCTGGTTCTTCGCTCTCAAACTCGCATCGATCGCAGGAAATTCATCCGAGGATACAACGGGTGAAGAGCAGATTTGTTCCTACATCACGCATATCAAAGCAGCACGATATGGTAATAATGACCAGGTTGGAGGAGAGGCGAGGAGAGGCAAGGCTGGATGTCAATTGATGTTTCTCGATAACTGAATTGTTTCACTGCTGGACGAGAAGCTTGGCAGTATTTGGTGAAGGTCAACACTCCAGCTTTCTAGAGAATTAGGGGGGCTTTCGTGGGCATACGCTTGGACCTGAAAAAGGGTGACATACAGTTTCAGAAGCAACGGAGAGAATGGGAGGGTGATGAACAGTTGTTGACTGTGGTCGAAACTAGCTTATTTGATACACTCAAGGCTCGTAAGGCGACACAGCACGTTTTCCACTGATGACCTCCGCCGGTCCATTCTCCTTGACAAGGTAGATATCTTCATGTCTGACCCCAAACTTGTTTTCCAAGTAGATTCCTGGTTCAGCAGTGAATGTCATCCCCGCACGAAGCAGGGTTTCATGGTTGCCCTTGTTGAGGTAAGGAGATTCGTGTGCTTTTAGTGTTAGCGAGGCGTATAGCTATCTTTGCTCTTACGATAACATACCTTTGATACCAATGCCATGTCCAAGTCGATGGGTAAAGGTTCCCTTGTAGCCAGCGTCATCGATAACCTTTCTCGCTGCAATGTCTACATTGGCTGCTGTTCCGTTCGGTACGAACATCTTGCCGGCTTCTGTCTGAGCCTCTAGAACGATGTCCCACACCCTGAGTTTCTCTGCGTGGAGCTCGTTCTTCTGTACCTCTGGTGCAGGTAGACGAAGCAGACGACGAAGTAAAGACGCCTTCGGAGGGTCAACGAAAAAGCTTCGACAGACATCAGATGAGTAGCCCATGTAGTGATAACCAGCATCGATCAAGACCATCGTTTCATGAGTCAGAACCTTGTCTCCAGTTGCAAAGCCTCCGTGAGGAAGAGCCGCGTTGCTGTCAAACAACACGATATCGAAGAAGAGATCAAATCCAATGGTCTTCAAAGTGTTGTCGAGGATCTGAATCACTTCATTCTCCGTCAATCCGGGCTCTAGGCAAGGTCGCATTGATCTGATGCCTTCGATAGTGCCAGTGTTGACGGCTCGCAACAACTCGACCTCTGCAGGAGTCTTCACTTGGCGCACAGCTTCCACTTCACCACCAAGACCGACTGTCTTAAAGCCATTAGCATCAAGTCCACGCACAAGAAAATCGCGGATCTCTTCGTCAACCATGAGGGTTGCATTCTTGTCAGGGAAAAGACTGTTTTTGAGCGTTTGGTAAGGATTCCAATGTTCTTCCCAGACGATGATGTCGAGTTCGCCTTCTGAAGGGATACCAAGCATTCTCACTCTGCCTTCTTCGAAGTGTGGACTCAAGAAGGAGGTTTTGGCTTTGACTTCCCCTGTACTAGTATTGACAGTGGGCTGTACAATCATCAAGAAGGGTCGTTCTTCTGNGCTATAAGAAAGTTAGACCTGGTTGGGCAAAATTCGGTCCTGGGCTCATCGTACCTCCCATGGTTCCCACTGTGGTTGAGAGATGTTGGCATAGTATTGGAATGTATATCCTGGCTCAATAACGAATCCGTCAACTCCAGAAACATGCAAAGCCTTTGCTAGATTGTCGCGTCTGTCCAGAAACTCTTGCGTTTTGATCGGACGCGCATTTTCCAAGAAGTAAAGGTCTTTGTGCAAGTTGTCTATTGAACATTGCTGCACACGATCAAACTGTGATTTTGCAGCGAACAACTNTCTACTAGAATGGTCAGTAGGTAGTAGAACACAGAACTGTGAGTTCGTACATACCGCCGTCCATGTCAAGTAAAGTGCTGCAACACTTGCTGTCAGCCACAACTTGGACCGCTTGCGAGCTTGTCCGAGACCATCAGACCATCGAGCGGGATTGATATTGTTTCCCATCTTGGTATCCATGGCTCTCGAGGTCTGGGTGCGCAATTGTGTTCCGGGGCACTGGTCGACGTTGGGAGCTATGAGTTATCCAGAGATCCCTGCTTGCTGGACTTGGATGAGAGTCGGTAAAGATCAATCAGGGAAGCCGAGACTGGCAGATATTGGCAGGTGATGATAAAAGACAGTATGGCATAGCTATCGCATCCTCCCGAGGAGCCTATCTCGCCTGCAGCTTGCCCGCTGCTTGCCCGACGCTTGGCCGCGCCTCTCACCGGGCGGCTGTCCGGCGGGGCTTCTCACAAGAAGATACATCATTGAACCACCAAGCGCAGAAGTCCTTATCGCGTGCAGCTACAGTATGATCGTCGAGCTTATTTTTCGGTAGAGGATACAATGCAATGATACCGTGTGATTGCCGAGAAGGATTTGTAGATATTGGCCCACTTCCTCGTTCCAAGCTAGACTTTCTTTCAACCTGTTTTCATCGACAAGAAAAGCCGGCATGGCTTCAGCAGAGAGTATCACGGCTACCTCGTTGGAGCGATATGATGCGCAGTACGACAACAAGAAAGATGAGTCAAAGAATGGAGCCCCAGGAGTAGTCGAAGTCATGGATCTTGAGGCAGGCGAAGCACAAAAGACATTCTACAGCAAAGTCTCTGTCATTATGATGGTCATCTTCTCCGGTCTCGCGATTGGATCAGACGGATAGTGAGTCTAACCTTGCAATCAGTCAACTCTCATTGCTGACCTTCGCAGTAACGCTGCAGTGATCGGAAACGTTGAACTCTTACTCGCCATCCTCTATCCAGAATCTCTCACGAACTCTATCTATACTCGTCTCTCGAACGCCTTTCTCATAGGCATGATAGTGGGAATGTTGATGTTTGGTGTCATTGCTGATCAGCTTGGACGCAAGACGGGTGCCGTAGCAACGACTGCATTGCTGGTACTTGGTATCGTGCTGTCGACTGCTGCCAAGGGAACCGACGAAACTGGTATGTTCTGGATGCTCATAATCGCCCGTGGTATCGCTGGTGTCGGCGCTGGTGGCGAGTACCCGGTCAGTGGTGCCGGTGCGGCTGAGGCAAGCGATGAGAACAAGGGCATGCGCAAGCACCGTGGCTTTATGTTTGCGATGATCGCTGATCTCTCAGCCTCACTCGGCTACGTTTTTGGTGGTCTTGTACCTCTGCTCCTTTTGCTATGCGTCGGTCAGAAGAAGGAAAAATACGACATCGTGTGGCGGCTCAGCTTCGCTCTGGGCTTGATACCACCAGTTTCAATCTTCTGGTTCCGATATAAGATGGCTGTCTCGACTGCTTATCGCAAAGCATCGATGAGGAAACAGAAAGTCCCTTACCATTTGGCTATCAAACGTTATTGGCGACCTTTGCTTGGCGCATCATCGACATGGTTCTTGTACAACTGGATTGCAATTGTAAGTCTGGTAGCGATCACAATCCTGAACATCGAGACTGACCACATCGAANNGCCTTTTGGTATCTTTTCTGGCACTATCACCACTCGCGTCAATGCTGGCGATTCGCTCATCACCAACCTTGGCTGGGGCGTCGTGATCAACTGCTTCTACATCCCAGGTCCATTTATCGGTGGCTACCTCTCGGACAAGATTGGTCGTCGCAAAACCATGGCACTTGGATTTGCGCTGCAAGCTGTACTTGGCTTTGCGCTGGGTGGAGCTTACCACAAGATAGTGCCTATTTTCCCCTTGTTCGTGGTCATGTATGGCATATTCCTTACTCTCGGAGAAGTCGGTCCTGGGTCCACTGTCGTTTTGGCATCCTCCGAAAGCTTCCCGACAGCAATTCGTGGACAAATGATGGGACTTTGTTCAGCAATTTCCAAAGCAGGCGCGGCGATTGGGACTCAGGTATTCATTCCCATTACGTCAGGTGCAGGCGATCAAGGCGCTTTTCTGGTCGGATCAGGCTTTGCTGTGTTGGGTGCATTGATAGCATTCTTCGTGATTCCAGATGTGGGCAGGAAGCTGGAAGACGAAGACGAGAATTGGAGAAAGTACTTGGAAGAGAATGGCTGGGTGGCTGACTGGGGCGACAAGGAGACACAAGATCCCAAAGGCGTCATCATTGATCAAAGGTCTTCTTAGGCAGTCGCATACTATCCTGCTATCTGTACAAGGCGTCCATTGCTTGTTGAAGTGGATGAAGAGTTGAACAATTGACAAATGAAATGCTGGTCGCAAGGTTGCCTCTCTGGTTGTGACGGCATGTCTACCGAAATTTTGCCGTGTTGTGAGGATGACCCTGGTCTTTCGTGCATGCCCTTGGCTGGGTGCTATATCCTGTCTCTCTTAAGCAAGAGTTTATTCTATTGCCCTGTTGCATATCTCCAAGCCATGTTGACATCAAGGGATGAATACGTGCTCTCATTCGAGATCACAAGAGGCGTTTGCAAGCTCACACAGCATCGCGTACTGCTTTGAGTCTGAATCGGCAAGACTGGCAACCATTCTATGAGTTGATGAGACTGTCTGACTCAATTCGCAACAAGTTGGAGCGCCACACACGCCATTTTTTGCACGAATCATCTTGGTAAGAAACGAAATGTCAGAAGCAGGAGAATTGGTTGGATGTTGTTGATGAGGGCTTCGGTTGAAACATGACTCGGAAGCCAAGGCCGGTCGGCTTCTGCTCTTGAGCTTTACCGTCACCAGTCTCCTTCGAACCTTGTGTGAACCACAACCTTTAGCATGTTGATATCATAATTTTTGGCATCTGTCGAAGGCAGTCACTCTTTCTATTACCCCTAACAGCGATATGTCTACCGTGCCGGCGCAATAGGGTCCATTCCCTACGTCAACAGACGCGGAGCTTCTCGACGGAAAAATGGTATCCACCTGCAGATCTGGAGAAAGAATGGTCGAGAGACCCACACTTAATTCTCCACGCGGTTTCTCCGCCCATTTGAGGGGATGAGTTTTGTGGAGTTAGCATGGAGGTCGCGGAGAGGGCACAGCACGCTACCACATGTCAGTCCTCAACGGACTGATTGGGAAAGTTCGGCGACTGCTTAAAGACCTTTTGTCCTCCTTGAGGCTCTTCCCTTTCTTCGTCTTTCTGGTCATACCGAGTGTACGACATTGAAAAACAGTATAATATGGCAAATGCGTTTTTCAAAAATCGCAGGGTCTACCTGTTGACCTTGGTGGCTTACATGGTGGGCATTCTAGCATTTCTTTATGGATGCCGTCTCTAATAACTACTACAGGGCTCCTTTCTCTTCGGCTATGACACTGGTGTCATGGGCTCGGTCCTGGAACTGGAAAGCTTCAAGCACGACTTTGGCATGGCGGCTTCGTCGACTGGCTTCAAGAATGGCAGAAATGCAGAGATCTCGTCCAATGTCGTATCGTTACTCACCGCTGGATGTTTCTTTGGTGCTCTCGCTGCACCCTGGTTGAACGAACGCCTGGGTCGCCGTTACTCTCTCATGATCTTCAGTGTCATCTTCATGATTGGCGCTGCTGTACAGACCGGAGCTTCGCATGCTATCGGTACCATCTACGGTGGTCGTGTCATCGCTGGTCTGGGCATTGGCGGTATGAGCGCCATCACACCTGTCTTTGTATCCGAGAACTGTCCTCCCGATGTCCGTGGTAGAATTTCTGGCCTTTTCCAGGAGTTTCTTGTCCTCGGTGTCATGTTCAGTTACTGGCTGTGCTATGGTGTCAAGAAAAACATGGCTCCCACAACAATGCAATGGCGCGTCCCTGTCGGTCTTCAACTCGTACCTTCTGGAATCATGTTTTGTGGTCTTTGGTTCTTGAAAGAGTCACCTCGCTGGTTGGCAAAGAATGATCGCCACGATGAGGCTTTGGCATCCCTGGCATATATCCGCTGTGTCCCCACCGATGATCCTGAGGTCCTCCAAGAGCTTGCTGAGATTCGTGCGTCTGTGGAAGAAGAGTTCTTGGCTACTGAAGGTCTCAGCTGGAAAGAGTGTCTGAAGCCTGGATATCGCGAACGCTTCGGCCTTGCNTTTTGCATTATGTTCTGGCAGCAATGGAGCGGTACAAATTCAATCGGATACTACGCGCCACAAATCTTCGCTTCTGTAAGTAGCACGCCTCGTCGGTATAGCAGTGATGTCTGGGATGGAGGAAGAACGTTGCAGGCTTCAAGTTTTTTTCTTCTTTTCCTTTTTTTCTTGCATTTCTTGTGTGCGCTCATGCTGATGCGGAAACAGGTCGGTCTTACAGGTTCAAGCACCTCGCTATTCGCAACCGGTATCTATGGCACCGTTAAGGTCATCGCTACAGGCATATTCCTCATCATCGGTATCGAGCGTTTCGGTCGCAAGTGGCCGCTTGTTTCAGGAGCTTTTTGGATGGCAATCTGCATGTTTATCATCGGTGCACTGCTTGTGTCTTACCCACCGGACCCTGATGCCGGTTCTGTGAGCTCCCCTTCCATCGCCATGGTGGTCATGATATATCTTTATGTTATCGGCTACAGCGCTAGCTGNGGGCCCGTTCCATGGGTATACGTTGCAGAGATCTTCCCGACGAGGTTGAGGGCGTACGGTGTTGGGTTGGCTTCTGCTACTCAGGTTCGTGATTTCCCGATCTCGTGGTTGTTGTTCCGAGAATACTGACTTTGCAANCAGTGGTTGTTCAACTTTGTCGTCACGAAAGTTACACCTGCAGCGATTAACAGCATTGGCTGGCGCACATTCATCATGTTCGGCTGCTTTTGCACAGCTATGGGAGTGTTTGTTTTGGTTTTCCTCAAGGAGACCACTGGGCGTAGTTTGGAAGAGATGGACCTTCTGTTCGGAGCTGTCACGCCTGAGCAAAGGNNGAAGAAGGATGTTGAGTTGGCTGTCGCGGAGGAATATAAGGCTGATCCTCATGCTGAGCATGTTGATCGTGTTGAAGAACAGCAAGTTTTCAAGGACAGAGATATTAAGTAAATTTCATTGGAAGCATAGAGGGAACATAGATGGAATATAGATTGTATTGGCATAGAGCAGTGCCCATAGATTCATACAAAGCTACTGAACACAGGTACGATCACCTATCGAACATCAATACATGCTTTGGGCCGGTCATCGTGGCATGGTGTGTTTTTCACAGCTTCGCTCACCCCTTCTTTCACCGTATCGCAGCCGTATTCGACAACAGCTTATCACTGTACCGGTGAGTGAGGCTTGGTAACAGAAAAAGGCCGCGCGTTTCAGCCTTGTGGGAGTTCCAACACGCCAAAGGATTACCGCCTTCTTTCAACCTCGTTAATCGACTATTCAGGTCCGAGTGCACCAATTATAGCGACTTGCGAAGCTCGCAAGAATTGCTTCAAGAAGGCAAGAGCATAAATAGCACAAACATCGCATAGATGTGCAAAACAGGTCGGCTTGGCGTCGTCACAGCCCCGTTGTTTATGAAACTGGGGAAAAGCGCAGGGCTGAAAATAAGGGCCAAGAAATGCACGCAAAGGAGCGTATCGCACACGGCCGCGTGTTCTTTTCCGAGCAGGTATATTTTGCAAGAGGAAGCAATAGACACCAGTCCATTAACTTCCAGCTCTCGCAAGAACTTCCACGACGACAACTGCTGACGAGAGAAAAATCGATAAATTCGGACTCGGAAATCGTAAGATCCGGAGAGGTCGGCGTTTTTGGCAAGAAGGGCCGGGGGATTCCAAGAGCTGACATAACTGGGGCCCTGTTCTGTGCTCATCCCTGGATTTCCGTATCGTTTTTGTTCTCGTAAAACAACATTCCTAAGGAAACACGTTCGACTTGTTGCTGGATGTTGCTGCTGTGATTCTTCAGTGTCTTCAAAGGTAGAAGGGAAGAATGGAGAATCTACAGATCCATTCGAGGGTGAGTGTCTCTTCTTGAGTTGATGCAGGCAGTCGCGGTCAAAGCCCGGACCGAACCGAAAGTGTATACAAGTTGCGAGGCTGACAGCGACGACAACAACAGAGCTACATTGTGCGCTGGGTGCACGTCAATGAAGGACATTCTATCGGATGGAGTGTGCAGCCACACAAGAAAAGCATTAACTTTGGCATCTTCAAACATCCGGGAACTAAAAATGGGCTGGCCCCTGGAATGCCCACCTCGTCCTCTGCCACCCTCGAACCTCCGCCGAGTGCTCACAGCAATGACGAACCCCTGAATGATGGAAGAAAGAGAAGAGGATCGGTTGCTAAGCACGAGGCCAGCACTGTCATGGAGAAACTGCACAGCATTGGCTTGCGCTGTGTCGAGTGGGTGGGCAATTGTGAGGCTGATAAAGTCAGGGTGGGCACCTACGATGTTGCCCCTGGACAGGGAGGCATGTACGGTCTTGTGTTCGACAACACCTTCAGCAAGACCGTCTCCAAGACTGCCACTCTCGTGCTCATGACGCATCCTACGAACGCTCCGCCAAAGTCTAGAGCTCAACTCAAGGCTCAATCGAGTATGTCGAATCTCAAGAACAGTCCGCGCATTTCCGCTACACCAGGAGCTTCTGTCGAGTCGCTNGGGAAAGAGTTGGAGAATACACAAGCTGCGAAAGGCCAAAGGTCTCCATTTAACAAATCACTCGCGCCGCACGATATTCACAGCGGCACTCTGGGCAAGCGTCGCAGAAAGAAGGGTCAGGGCTATGCTCGTCGTTTCTTCTCTCTCGATTTCACCTCGGGCACCCTGTCCTACTACCGTAACAGTCATGCTTCGGCTTTGCGTGGTGCTGTGCCTTTGTCGCTAGTCGCAGTCGGTGCTGACTCCAAGACTCGTGAATTCTCTGTCGATTCTGGTGCCGAGGTCTGGCATCTTCGAGCTAGCAATCAAAAGGATTTCGAGGAGTGGAGAGAAGCACTTGAACGTGCTTCAGCAACTGCTGTTTCTGGCCCTTCAACTCCGGCTGTCTTTACCCAGAACAGAAACCCCTTTCCTGGCGCTTCGGACGCTGTCACATCTGTCGAATGGGAGCGTGCTGAAGAGATTGTCAGCAGAATTTCTGGTTCTCGTGATGCCTTGCGCAGACTTGCTCAGGATACTGACGTTAAAATCTCGCCTTCTGTCGCGGCCGCTTCACCAAGTGCTTCGTCGGTGGAATCGTTTGCAAACCCTTTCTTCGCCGACGCCGATACGGCTTCCACAGCTGCATCATCTGAACGATTACCATTTTGGAAACGCAAGCCTAGTACAGCTAGCAAAGATGCTCCAGGATTCAAGCGCAAGACTTCTGGCCAGCAGCTCGAAGTCCCTAATGGTTCTGCAGCTACGTCTCATCCGACATCTCCAGTACCAAACTACTCCACTAAACAGCCTCAAACCGCATCTATCACTATGCAGGAAACTCATGAACGATGCCTGGCGCTTCTTCGCGACCTGGATAACGTAGTGAATGACTTTTCTGCTCTACTAGCAGAGTCCAAAGCACGTCGGATGCCCATTAATCCGAACCTGCTTGCTCCTGCTGCTTCTCGTTTATCCATCGACTCGGTATCTTCGCAAGAATTCTTCGATGCCGAGGACGTTCCATCCCAACTTCTTTCAATCAGAAGATCTAGCGAAGCCACTCGTGAAGACGATCAGGATTTCCAGGATATCACTTCTAACGGAGATGATTCTGACACCAGCAGTGATGTGGGAGATGCTACGGAAATCTCCAACGACACGACTACTGCGGCCGGTCAGATTACTCTTTTCCCTGCTAAACCTGTACCATTGACTTCTCCACTACCAAAAGTCAAGTATCGCACAACTATTTCACCACCTAAGCAACCACCTCCCTCACTTATTGGATTCCTGCGAAAGAATGCTGGTAAGGACTTGAGTACTGTCAGTATGCCAGTCACTGCAAACGAGCCACTCTCGGCCTTACAGCGTCTCGCTGAACCTTTCGAATCCGTCGATCTACTACATAAGGCTTCCTCACTGTCATCACCAGATAAAGCTCTGGATAGACTCGTATATGTCGCAGCGTTTGCAATTTCCAATTTCGCCAGCAATCGCGTCAAGGAAAGAGCGATTCGCAAGCCGTTCAACCCTATGCTTGGCGAGACCTACGAACTCATTCGTGCAGATCTTGGCTTCCGCTTTGTGTCCGAGAAGGTGTGTCATCGACCAGTACGCATGGCCTTCCAAGCCGACGCTCTGGATTCAGCGTGGTCACTATCTCAGTCTCAACAACCCACTCAGAAATTCTGGGGTAAGAGTGCAGAACTCAATACAGAAGGCAAGATGAGACTGGTCCTACACAACGTAAATGGCGAGAAGTATTCTTGGACATTGGCAACATGTTTCCTCCGCAATGTGATCGCAGGCGAGAAGTACGTCGAGCCTGTTGAAAGCATGACTATCGTCAACGAAACCACTGGATCAAAAGCCGTTGCCACTTTCAAAGCCGGTGGCATATTTTCTGGCCGCAGCGAAGAAGTGACGACACAGTTTTACGATGCTTCGTCTTCATCGCCACTCGCACCTACCTTGACGGGTAAATGGACAGAATCACTTTCGCGCACTGATACGGGCGAAACAGTATGGACAGCTGGCCCTCTTGTCCCGAATGCAGCCAAGGTTTACGGATACACCTCGTTTGCAGCCTGTCTCAATCAACTGGACGACAATGACAAGAAAGAAGTTGCACCCACTGACTCACGCTTACGTCCCGATCAACGCGCTCTCGAAGACGGCAAAACAGATGAAGCAGAAGCACTCAAAGCACGTCTCGAAGAACGACAAAGAGCAAGAAGAAAGGTCTTGGAAACACATGGTGTAGAATGGAAACCTAAATTCTTTGATCTGGTCAAGGGAGAGGAAGGCGATGAAGAGGTTTGGAGATTGGTGGGAGGCAAACATGGGTATTGGGATCGTAGAGACAAGGGTGATTGGAAGGATGTAGAGACTGTGTTTGAGACCTGAGATTGCTGTATGCAGGGCACAAGGTGCTGGTTGGGTGTGTGTGGGGTAAGCTTGTCGTTTGCTGAAAGCTTGCTCTGAGCTTTGGATGAGGAAGACAGACGATTAAGCAACATTCTTTCATCCTTTACTTTCTTTGCCCCTTCCTTCAGTTGTGCTTGTGTCGTTGAGGGGCTTCTCTGCTGTTCGTCTCTTTTACGACGCATGAGTTTGTGTTTCCAGATTACCAACGTTCTTTCTCTGGTTGCTTCCATCTTCGCCTTTCCTTCACCGCCACCTTTGTCTCTGTCTGACATGCTTCTTTCCTTCTCGTCCAGAGCAATCAAGCAGCTTCCAGGTTCCAAAGCCGGCAGAGTTCTGCGATCGATGAATATAAGCTGCCCTGCACGCTGCTCATCTGGCTCTTTCCTCATCATCGCATATATCTCTTCTGGCTTTCCACTCCATGGCAGAGATGCCTACAGCTCACACCTGTCACCTTGAGCAGTGATTCACACATCAGTACTGCCACCTGCAAGCGATCTTCTGGACACGCAGAATCTGGAGTCAGTCACACTCGACAACAGGCATCGCATTCGTCGTCGCCTCCGCAATATATCTACCTTCTTCTTCGTGTCGTATTGAAGCACAGTCTACAGACGCCCTCAAAGCTCGTGTGGCGGAGTCTATATATATACAATATTGGAGCTGAGAAGACCTACGAGGTCTCTAGCTCTCTCGTTATACCCTTCGCCTGCGTCAGCAGCTTCCAATTGTTGTGGTTTCAGCAGGCTCAACAGTTATCTGATGTTCCCCACCATCGACATATCCTCGTTATCAACATCCCACTTTCACGGCCTGATCAATCTGGAAGCCCGTCGGCTGCTGGTCATCGCTGTTGCTCTTCCTGTGCTTGGCGTCAAGTTCAACAACCCGAGCTGCAGATGGGGCAATTGCTCCTACAACCACGCAACCCGCAGAGTCCTGGCCGCGCATTGTATGATGCATGTGCCCGACTACAAGTTCTTCTGGTGCTCTCACTGCGGAAGAAGCTTCCAGCAGAAAGCAAATGTCGTTAGCCATGGGAGAACTCATGCAACAAGAGATTCCGTCGTATTGGCAAGCAGGTCTGGCTGCAGACTGACGAGATCTTTCACGACTCTCGTTCTGCTGCTTGTTCGCGTCAAACGGCTTGAGATCGATATGGCTCTGCAACAATCCTGACCAAGGTATCACATGATTTGGACCATCATCCCATGCGATCTTCGCAGTTCTGTCAATGCACCTACGTATCGTATGAATTATCCTCCTGCTGGTCATACAACGCTCAGTCTGTCATCGACATCCCGACTACTATCTCTCCACAAGGTCTTTGCTACTAGGGTCCTCCGCTCTATATAAGCTCCGTGCTGGGACTATTCTGCAGATGCTGACACTCTCGTTTCAACCTGCACTCCGCCTTTGTCAGCAGCCTCAGATCATCGTGGATTTCAGTAGAGGTGAAGCCCAATTCCTTGCAGGACACCAGGAGAGTAGGTTCGGAACTGGTTCTGACGACGTTCGTAACCATCTTGCTACTACCTGGGGCTTCGACGGAGTCAATGGGTCTGCTTCCTACCAGAGTCGCCGAAATGAGGCCAGAGTACTAGCAGGTCACCAGCTTAGGCAAGAGAGGTTTGGCCGCGGGAGTGATTATGTGCGTAACCACATCTCATCTGTCTCTTCTACCACCAGCACGATGAAGAGAGCGATGGAAACGAGCAGGAAGAAGATCAGTATGACGCAGCCTCATGGCTTGAGGGCCTCATGATCCGGATCATTGCCAGCATCATCGACATTCCTTTCTCAAAATGCGCCATTCAACGCTCCGGCTGCCATCACCACGTTTAACCAAGGCGGTTTTACGGTCTTTGGCTTTATATAAGATCTGTGCTCGCCCAACCTACGAGATCTTCACGACTCTCGTTTTGCTGTACGCCCGCATCAAGCAACTCCAGATCGCTATGATTTGCGCTGCGGCCTACTCCTATCTGACATCGTATATGCCGAGCTTCACCAGCCAACAGGATACCGTCTTCTTGAAGAGCTCAAAGCGATGATTGTCGCTGAGGCTGACGATGGGGACATCCATACCATGCGTCTGGTGTGTTCTGGATGGAAGGCCGTGACACTTGCAAGATTCTTGCCTTTTTCAACCAAGCAGGTCTGGTTTCGAAGGGGAAATAAGCTACGCTCGCGAGGCTTTTATCGTGTCTCAGTCGAGTAGCCTTCGAGTACACAAAGGCTGGGGTTGGAAACATGTTGAAGGGCTGTCGAAAACCTCGTTTCGGCCCCGAGATTTGTACCTTGAACATATCGTCGACTGCAAACGCTGCAATCCTTCCGTCTATGCACGTTCATTGGAATGGTATCATCCGACGTGGAGTCTACGTGACCGCATTGAGTGAACCCGGACTCTCTGGTTCCTCTCAACACCAACAAGTTCTTAATATATCCAAGATAGAAGAGCTTCAAGACTACCAGCAGCAATGCACCGCACATCCCAAGTCAGTCATAGGAACAATGTCTCTCAACCGGACTTTCGATGCATTGGCTCCAGTTTTGAGAAGTATGAGGCTCAGCATCAGCTTCCGCTAAAGCCTCAGCAACGCCATGTTCTTCATCGTGCATCAGCTACCGGGCAAGCACCAGCCAAGCCATCACTCTATTCTATATATCTCATGGCGATGCCTAGCTCGTGCTCGAGACGCTACTCCTGAAGATCTTATCAGGGTGATTAGCAACTGTCCAAAATTGTCCATCATCCAGCTAGAGAAGCATGCGGGGCATCCCAGCAGTGTCTACCGGTCCCAGGATCTGTCAGGATGAACAGATTGCCCGAAAAGGTCATTCAGGAGATCTTCGAACTCCTGGTCGAGTCCACCAACGATGTTACCAATGGCATGACCGTCAGTGATCTCTGGTCTAAGATCGGGGATAAAGTCCTGCGCAGCCGATACTGCGGATCAATGGTTCGCTGTTGATCCTCTATGCTGACCACTGCTTTCAAGATCCTATTCGGAAGTCCATGCAGTGATCGATGCAGTCACCACCAATATGTGCTTCGGGAAGCGCAGCTCTGGTTCCACCCACCCTGCCTCAATCTCTTCGAATGATGATTCAGACGCTCGCCCTATCGAGCTACGGACTCTTGTCTTACGACATTCCGCCCCAACGATCTGCCTGGTGAGATCTACGAGCTCGTGCTCAACAATGTCGACAAGTCCGACCTCGCAGCAACCAGATCTACCTGCAGGAGATTTAGAAGATGGAACCTACGACCCTCCCAAACATCCTTCTTCACTAAGATCCAATGTGGTATTACGCATAGAGATCTGGAAAGCTGGTACGACTCTCCAAATGATCACGGTGACGACAACCAAGACTTCCAATTGCCGAGGAATGATCTGTTCGATGACAGCGACGATGGAATAAGCAGTCAGACAACGCTCAAACTTCTATATATGATACACGAGACCATGCGCAACCTGTACAATTGCGCTTCCCCTCGAAACAGTACTCTGCCTTTATAGTCACTTGGTTCCCACAAGTGCCGCGAGAAGGAGTCGCTCGTGTCGGCAAGCCCTGCACAGCTTATGCCTCCAAGAACAAGAAGATGGCTGCAACAGTGGTCTCTACTTGACCATAAGGAGTACCTTCTACTTCGTCTTTCGGCCATCCGAGACATCTTCGCCTGGCCAGACCCCATGTCTCATCTTGGACTGCTGCTATGCTTCCACTCTCTCAATCATACCAAAACTTAAAAGACCATCATCGACCATCTCCACATAAGCTTCGAATTGAGTGTGCGATTTTTTGTCCTTCAGACACACCACATCGGATGTACTTCTTCTTGTGTGGTTCCACGTTGTTATATATCTTGGGCCTCTACATTGGAAGCAAATTGAGAGCCATCCAGTCACATGGTGAAGAACTTGTTCCTTGTGCCATCTGCTCTCTACCAGCTCTACACAGGCATCTCCACCTTTCGCACTTCCAGAGCAAAGCCGAAGCATACAAAGCCGCATTCCACTTGCGAAAATTGCCGGAAGTTAAGAATCAAGTGTCGCTCTAGGTGTGCTGGTGAAGTCTTCCTCGTCTCACCGAAGTCACAGACAATTCCCCCAGAGTCTGCGTCACCTGCGAAACTCGCCGGAAGCTCAAGACCAGACGTCACGGTGCACGCGATGGCGATGCTTGCGAGAAGTGTACGAATGAGGTTACCCTGTGTATCCACAGGCCTATAGCTGCGTATCGTAGCGGAGTCAAGAAAGCATTTGGACAAGCCTCGTCTGGGACTTCCAAATGAATTGCCGAGCGGGTGTCCACTCATGTCTGAGCAAGCCTCTTTCGGCGCTCGCAGTTGAGCAAAATTACGATCCTCGACTTTATGATGATTTGCGCCGTGCTCCGTGCTCCGTGCTCCCAACTGATGAAAGATGTGGCCGCGAAGGACCGTGTTATTCTGCAGTCATGCCGTAAGCGTCACATTCATAATTCCACTTCGGAGCAGCGGACTACAAGCATACATGATCAGTCTCATCTGTAGATTGTGGCCTCACTGTCGCCATGTGCAATGGTGTAATGAGGATGGAGATACTTTCGAACCCACCGTCGACATGCTCTCTACTTCCGAAGTAGTTGTCTACCCCGAACGCTGTCAAGTTTGCGCAGAGCTTAGACACCCATACTATTTCCCAAGGCGATGCTATGCAACCCACGGTCAACATGCTCTCCACCATCGAAAACCAAGCCTGCAAAGGAGGTACTGCTGACGACTGAGATTCTTCACTCTTAGTGCCCTCTAGTCTGCATGGTTTTCTAGACATAGCCTGGCGCCAAACCCATCACTGGCAATCCTATGTTGTGGCTGGATGCCCAGATATAGTCCCACACATATCGGTTACATAGCCGAGCTGTCACCAAAATCACCCACCAGATCCCTCGAGCACCTGCCTACGATAAAGCTAGCCAGGTCGCCACAG